TCAAAATCTAGTCACATCAACATGTAATTGTTTTTTTGTAACACCATAGTAGAATAATAGCATTTGTTTTAAAATTCAAATGTGGTTGTTATTAGACTAATTGGTGATTTTCGGGGCCTAGGTTCTAGTCCCTCTTCCAATTTATTATCTTTGGGTGAAGCACATTTTTTTGGTTTGTTTGCTTGTCCGTTTTGTTTTGTTTTTCAAGACAAGATTTCTCTGTGTAGCCCTGGCTGTCCTGGAACTCACTCTGTATACCACATCATCCTCAAACTCACAGAGATCTGCCTGCCTCTGCCTCCTAAGGGCTGGGATTAAAGGCATGTGCCCACCCTCCCGGCACACAATCTTTTTTGAAACCATTCTTATATATCCTTTGACTTCTCACTTTTTTAAAGTCTCAATTTTCTATTTCTCCATGTTTGAGGAAATTTATATCTCAGTTGCAAAACTGGTGACATTTCTCTATCTACATCTGCAGCCTACTGGATGTAACAAAGAGAAAAATCAACCAAAGGAAGAAGTAGGGGGGAAAAGAGGGAAAAGGGGGGAGAGATAGTGAGAAGGAGAAATGGGAAAGCAGTATTCACCTAAGCTAGCCCAGTTTTTCTGTGGCTCATGGAAGTACTGTCTAAAATCCAACCACCCTCTCAAGAATCAAGCTGACAGAGTTCAGAATTCAACTTCATTAACAGCAGGAGACCCATTCCTCTTGAGGGAAATGATAGGGGAAAAAAATCATCTTGACACCAGTCGATTGTTGGTGTATTTGCCTTTCTTTGTCCTGATTCTTCAAGCCATCTTCTGATTGGAAATCAGCTTCTGAGACCTATGGAGACGTGGCCTGAGGGCCAGGCCAATAGAAGCTTTGCAGGTTGCATACTTTCTATGATTTCACTCTATCATGAAAAGCTAGCAGGGCACTAGAGTCTATCAAATCGTTGAGAGAAAAAGAACAAGATAAAGAGTCATGTGAAGGAAGAAAATTCCCCAACAGACCCAGTGCCAGGACCACCCAAAGGAATGCACCCATTGCCCTGCATGGATTTCATGGCATAACAAGAGTAATTGGCTGGCCTAGGGACTTACAAGGATCACAGATGTCCCGGATGTGCAGAACTGAACCCTGTAATGTCTAAGAGGTAGAGACGATGCCAGAAAACATCCCACAAGCCCAGTTTGGATAGTCTTATCTGAGGACCTAAATTAGATCCCAACTTTCAAATCTAGATTTCAACCTTCCCAGTATCTGTGCTGGCTAGGATCATGTAAATTACTGTATCAATGATCTGCTGCAGGTTCAAATCTCAGGGCTCCTCGGAGAGATGATCCCAATTAATGTCCTAACGTATTAATAGGTAGTGGTTTTAAGCCTAGATAATCCACATAATGGACTCAGTGAATCAGATCATCGCATAGACACATGCATATCACACACAGCGCTTGTGAGTCAAGGCGTGCCTGGTGCCTTCCCTATAATAGTGGTGCTGCCACTGTGGCGATTTGTTGATCAATATGAGCCTCTGTGTTGCACATTCCTTATTTGCCTGGAAAAAGCTTGATATCTGATCATATTTCATCTATTAAATTTAATCTTAGTGTCAGGTTAATATAAGAACACTCATGGAACATTTTAGGCTAGGACAGACACTGAACAGTAACACATACTAAGGACTAAATAGTGATGCTCACCACACCTCTCTTCCTACCCTATCACTAAGAAATTCCCAAAAGTACTCTAGAAGTAGACAGCATTTCATCTCATGTTGTTTCCATCTGCAACAGGCCTATAATCTTCCAAACACACCTCTTCCTCGAGAAATCATTCACCGGCCCGGCCACCATCCATGACACTGTAACCTCACCCATCGCAGACACAGGCTTGGCCCGTACCCCTCTGCCCACCACTTCTGCTTTCCCCAGTCTTCATTGGTACAATTCCAAGGGTGATATGGAAATTCTAAAACAAGGCAACACACTGAAGGTTTCTTCTTTCTACCAAAGCATCCCAAGGCTCTGTGACTGGTTGCTTGGTTACCATTAAGATACAGAGCAAAAGATTCATTAGAAGCTAAAGTACAAGCCCCTGATGCCAATGAAGAGTCCCCCTCCAAACCCGTCCAACAAAAGACAACTGTTACATCCACATTTAGACAGTCATTAGCAGAACAGTTTCTTCCATAATAATTGCAAGAGCTTTGTCACTAACTCAATAGATAGAATTTCTAAGGATCTACAGTAAATTTTCCCTTGGAGGAGCTGAAAGTTCAGAGGATGCTAGTTGCTAAAAAGAAGACACGGGTGAGTGAAAGATCAAAATTTTCTTATTACCAACCAGCTCTGTACTGGTAAAATTTAAATCATAGCTAATAAAAACTTGCAGGAAAAAAAAAGACCACATTGCTTTGCAAACATCAAACTCTGTATATTCTATCTTCTCATGCCTTCAACAATAACACCTAGGGTGCTGCCACTCTGGGCTTGATGTCTTGTCCTAGAACACTTTCTCCAGACAGAGGGTGGCAGAACAAACAAGACAGATAAGTCTAGAGCCTCAAAGAGCAAAGGAGAGCTGCTGGGAACTGACAGATTTCCCGATTTGAAACTTTTAATCTTGAAACCAAAAAGGGAGCCATGGGTTGTTTCTCTCTCTCTCTCTCTCTCTCTCTCTCTCTCTCTCTCTCTCTCTCGAATCGAAGAAGGAGCAGGAATCCTTTTGTGCTTGGGGGGGTGGGTGTGGAAAGAAAGAAAAAACACATCCACTGAGCACCGTCTGTAATACTCAGTAACGAATCACATCATGCCAAAATGAAAATCCCTCACTATTTATTGAACTGTATTCCAGGCTCACAAAAAGCTTTTTAGATGAGATTCTCCAAGGACCTTCTAAATGCTATCTCATTATCATTCACCTTCATTTAGAAGTTAAGCATCTTCATCTCCATTTCAGAGTTAGGAGTTAACAGAAAGGTTAAACAAATTATATAAACTTATATTAAAAGTCTGAAATGATAGAGACCAAGGTGTAGGATCCCATGAGGATGGCATGTCTTTCTTGGAAAAAATTAAGCAACATACCTAATTATTTTTAGGGGAGTATTTCAAAAAAATATGTTTTATCTGCACATAGTGGTCTACAAAGAAAAAGCAAAAATAATAATAATAACAATTGTGCTAACTGCAAAGCCAGTGTGTCTTCCTGAATCCTTGCTTTTTTCTGTCCCCATCCATGTGACTGGAGATTTGAAATGCTATTTAAGTCTCAATTTCCTTCAGAAGCTAACCTCTGTGGAATAAAATGCTGTTAAGGGGGAAGAATCTTTGCTGTCATTTGACTTTAACTTATGATAAATTAGCTTCAACTAGTTTCTTAGAAAATTGCCCAAGAAATGACTACAGAAAATTAAATACCAAGACTTCAAAGAGGCAAACACATAGCCTTCAAATTCCGACCTCAGAGAATAATCCTCCCTTTCTCGTGCTTTGGTGAGATGTGAGTAAAGAAATCTTACTAGGGCATGGTAATGAACCATCTTTCAAATGACTTTTCTATCAATCCTCTTTTCAAAGGGTAATAAAGTGATGATTATTTCTAGGCAGTTTCTGGGACGTTATCATCTCATTTTAATAGTCACCAGTAAAGGACTGCTCTCAGGCGTTATCACCAATGGTGATAAGGGTAAGACTGGTTAAGAATTCAATAGGCAAGGTATAGGTTGTTAAAAGCTATTTCCTAAGAAATTAAAACAGAGAGACATCAAAAGAATCATACTGGGTCTTAAAGAGTTGGTAGTCATTTCCTTCTCAGTCAAAAATGTAAATATAATTTATTACCTAGTGAATGAAATTCACTATCATTTGAAGATTGTGTTATTTCTTTTTTAAAAAAAACGTTGTTGACCTCATGCTGTGAACCATGCCTTTTGCTTGATCTAGTGAGTAGCATAAGAAGACCTGTGGATGGCATGTGCCATCATTTCCAAAACTAGAGTATTGGCTCTCATGTAAAACAACAGTCAACAGTATCAGAATGTCCTTGAAGCACTGACTGAATGGTTCCTGCCACCCAGCATTTGTTTTACAAAGCTGGAGTGAGGAAGACAGCAAGTAGTGGGCATCACTCAGAATGCAGAGATGCAAAGTCCATGGCAAGGAAACTCCATACTCTAGATTGCCTGCACAGGAATTTCCTGACCTCTTCTCAGACCCTCACATCCAGATCCCACCCATGACCAAGGTTGTGCACCTAGGAAAGGACTGTGCGGTTCACCTTTACCCGGAGGTGCTAGAGTATCCCTATCTTCTTATTCACCCTGGTTCTCTTACCCCAACCAGAGCCCACAGTGCTAGCAGGGAGGGTAAAGGACCCTTTTCTGAATCTGACATCTGCCTAGAAGTCAAATATCTCAGGACTTAGTAGAGTTCCAAATATGGAACAAAAGAAGGAGGAAGTGGGGGTGGAGGAGAGGAAGGAGAAGGAAGAAAAAAGGAAGAGGAAGGAAGGGGAGAAGGGAAAGAAGGAGGGAGGGAGAGAGGGGGAAGGGAAGGAAAGAAGGGAGGGAAGAAGGGAGGGCGGGAGTTAGGAGGGAGGGCAGGAGGAAGGGAGGGGTAGAGGGAGGAAGGGAAGGAGGGAGGGAAGGAGGGAGAGAGGGAGGGAGGGAGGGAGGAACGATCGAACAAACGAAGGAAGGAAGAGAAGTGAGATATGAGTTGGATCTTCACCGCCACAATCTTCCCAGCAATGCTGCTGAGAAAGGTTGCTTCACAAATAACTTCTGAAGCCTAGCCCGTCGACTGGATGAACAAACACTGCCTCCTTTTGTGACCATGTCACTCAGTCAACACTGTCACATCATATGCATGCAATTCCAGTGACCTTTGCCCAACAGTTCTTTTCTTTCAGATAATATTTTGCAGTTGTTTTTCTTAGGGGTTTTTTTTTATTGTTGTTGTTTTGAAAAAAAAAAGCATACCACAAAAGTTTACAATCAAGTTTTTTGTATTTGCTTTCAAGTTTCATTCCAGTTTACAGGTATTTTGGTCAATAAATTGGTGTACTTGGTTTGGCCCTTGCGTAAGTAAACTCTGCTCTTTCTAGAGTTGAGTACAGTGCTAAAGTGAGACAACAAACAAATCCCTTACTGCTTCAGAGATTGGACAATATTGCTAAGCACCGCCTCCCAACACCAATAGTCTAGCCTCACTGCCGATCACTGTTTCACCCAAGCACATACTTCAAGGGCTGAGGCAGGAGGATTGGGAGTTTGAAGGCTGCCTATGCTACAAAAGGGTGGGGGGTGGTAGAGAAAGAGGGAAGGAGGAAGGGAGGGAAGAAAAGAGGTAAGAAATTGTCCAAGCTTTCCACCTCCTACCAATCAAAGGAAACAGACTACAGATGAACCCTCAAAATCACGTGAACCAGATGCAATTGTTTTCCATCCCACAAAGCAATACTTCCCTTGAAGTGCAGTCTAAGGAAGCAGGGATTTAGAATTCTAAAGGAGATTTAGAAGTAAGGTAATGAATGTAAGAACTAAAGACAAAACTAAAGATGAAAATTTTAGGTCTAGGAGGTTTGCTGCTGGCCGGTGGGAAGGCTAAGTGAGGGCCTCAGGGGTAGACGGGAGTCATCTTTCAATCTTTGCTGTTGCTGCTGCTGTTGTTAAAAAAAAAAAATCACACTTGTTCTGAGGCAGGGTAACCCTACCCAGCATGCAACAGGGACCTGCCCCAACACAGGGTTGCTTCCAGGGACACCTCATTTCAAGCTCCAGAAACTGATAAAGTGTTCAAACCATCAGAACGCTGCAGTGGAGGGAGGAAAATATGTGGAAAGCCTTTCAGCTTGAGATGCATCTTTCCCCACAGGACTGATCAAGGGGAGTGAGGGTGTGATGCGATCCAGTGCCAAGAGGGAGAAATGAGCAGAGGGTGGCAATGGTCTCTAACCTTAGTGTCCTGAGCTTAATACAGTGAAGCCTTTCATAACAGTTTGTAGGATTACATATTCCCATTTTTGAATTTATAAAAGGGGGTATGTAAGAAAAAAATTGTTTAAATTTGTCCTTTTCCCTCATTCAGAGGAACTAGAAGACAATAATCCAAAGCATCTAGAGTTTACCAGGACTTGACATTTGTGGCTCTTTATGCTCCAACCTGGGCCAACAGATACTCATCCAAGTTTGTTGCATTCAAACCTTGTGTTCCTGGAGAAGGAAGAAGAAATCACATACATTTTATTGTATGTATAGGTATGTATGCCTATAGGTATAGGTATGTATATAGATACAATGCTTGAATGAAATGATGAATAGCAGTGGGGATAGAGTCTGCAAACATCATGAGAAAATAAATTAATTCATTCCCCAGTTCTTCAGTGCACAGCATTCTGCTCCAAGAGTTCCAAGCGGCCAGCTGAAGCAATGAGGTATAAAGGAGAGCATCCCTGGTGGACTCCTTCAGTGTCTTCATGCAGAACAAGGAGATGAGAATGTACGCCAAACATTCTGCTCTGAGGTCAACATCTGGGAGGATCCCTCCATTAGGCATTGTGTCCTTGGTATAGCAGGAGATGAGGATCAGAGGACACTTCCAGAAACTTCCACACTGTACAGTCAGCCTGACAGGGATTCTGATGTAGACAGAATCGTGTCTGTGGACATCACCACAGAGTTCAAGGAAAAGGAGCTAAGAGACCATCGTCTTCCTTGTCGCCCTCTTTAGAGCCGTGTGTGATCTTCCAGGGGATTTCTATTTCTGTCTCTTGCTGGAAGTCCCTCAGCTGGTTCAATATTTTTCTCAAGTCCTGAGTTGCAATGTTCCCTTGCAAGGGAATAATCATTTCTTTTTAAATCTACAAAGAAACCAAGACAGTTTTAGTAGATGGCTTAGAACACATTGAATCATGTAGATAGCTTGAACTTCAGGCTTAGTCAAAGTGTTCAGGGAATCTCTTGCCCCAGGCCTTGGGCATACAGATTCCAAACAGTAAACCATATCTAAACCCAGGCCCCCTCCCATCCCAATGACCGCATGAAATTCTAACTGTGTGTGTTGTCCCTGTGTAAGTCACTGGCCACCTCCTAGTGGGACAAGATGTGTCTGATAAAACTTAAATGAGGTCCAGCAAGACATGGGAACCTTAGGAATGATCAAAGGGATGAGTCAAAACGGTGACTTTAGATTCTAAGGCTTGGCTTTCTGTAAGAAAGCTGCCTGCAGTTTTGTGGCCACCTATAAAAGTTTCATCAACCAAAGATCACATCAGACATTCCCCAAGCCCTTCCACTTTCGTTTGAAAAGGGCATTTAAAGAAAACAGTAAACCGAGTAACCTTTGCGGGGAGGAGGGGAGGGACACAACTATAGGGAAAGGAGCATTAAGCGGTGCATACGTCTCTTTGTGCTGTGATTCCTGAGTGAATTCTGGCCAGCAGTTGTGGGATGATTCAACTCTCCGCTAGCTCCCGCCTTCCTTACTTAGAGACCTGATGTGTGTCATCCGGGGTGTCAGCCCAGCCCACACCCCTTCCTAGGTTCCTGATGGCCAGTCCAGAGAACACAGTGTTGTACCATTTCCTTACCCATGCATTGTGAACTCATCACGAGTGGTTAAGAGAGTATAGCCCTTCCTCTTTGCTCCCTTGATTAGTTAGCTCAAGGAGTGAGAGCTATGGGTGATGGTTCTAAGGAACCAAGATTGTCATTCAGGGGTCGGCTGTGCAGAGAATCTGTGTGAAGGACTGGCATCAACCTCTGGTACCAAGAGAAAAAGCTCATAGGTTTTTGTTGTTGTTGTATGTTTTACTTTTTAATGTTAAATGCTGGGTTTTCTAGATTAAAAACTAATGTGTGTGTGTATATGTAATAATATAACCAGCAAATATTGAACATATACATAAAATAAATCTTCACATCAACTTGGTGAGACAGGTACAATTATCTCCTTGCTTGCAGATGAAGAAGTTGAAAGCCAAAGCCCTATAGCCAGTAGAAAGCAGAACTGGGGTGCATAAACCATGCCTGCCTAGGTTTGGATTCCAGGGTCTTAGGCATTGGCTTAATCTGCCTTTGCCTTAAAAACAAAGGAAATGTAAAAACTAAAATGTTTTCTCATTATGTTCCCCAAATCAAACATTTTTATTCAATTACCAATGATAATAAAATGACAGTACTTCTTCATTTCCACTTCAATACTAATTTCTTAAAACTACGGTTGCAGACGGAGAGAGGAGAGAGAGAGAGAGAGAGAATATAAATAAGCACTCTAGAAATTCCTGCAGTTTGTAAATTTAAAAAAATATTCAAAAATAAAGAAGATAAAAAGTTAGAGTGAGTAGGTCAGGCTGAGAGACTGTTAAAAGGAACAAACTTACTTTTAGCTAAAAGGAAAACAAAAACTGCACAATGAGATGGCTTGGCAGATAAAGGTGCTTGCTGCCAAGTCTCATGACCAAAGTTCAAATCCCGGGACCCACATGGTGGAGGGAGAAAATAGACCACTGACTTCCAGCCTACAGCCTACCATGCCATGCCTACATGTGCACATGAATCCTTAACCATACTCAACAACTAACTGGGCCCAAAGATTGGAAGCAGTGAGTAATGGCGTGAGTCTCACTGGTCCCTGATTGACCAGATATAGTCCTGGGTCTTCCAGAATAGAATCTGCCCTGTCCAGGCTACAGTGAGTCAGACTGGGCAGAGTGCAGGGCCTAACATGATGATCCCTGAGCAGATGGCGGTCTGCAACTGTGGGATGATTCAGATATTCATCAGCTCCTTCCTCCCTTCCTTAGAGCTGCGGTGTGCCTCATCCCAGCTCCAACCCCTCCCCAGGTTCCTGATTCCAGCCCGGAGAACACAGCATTGTGTATCCATCTCTTTGTCCATCTTTGCAGTCATGAGACTACAGCTCCTCCTTGCTCCTTTGCCTTCCCATTCCACACAGCAATCTGCCGCTGCGGAATGGTACACTCTATTGTCACTGATGGGGGAAATTAGGGGCCCGATCCTAATGCCTTTTTTTTTTTTAAACTAAGTCTTGCTCATAAAAGCCTCCCTCCCTCAATTCCAACAGAATCAGAAATTGCCTGTTTTGTTGTAGTTCTCTCTAGGTCCACCCCAGGTCACAAGGGAGGACGCTCTTCTATTGATTTTCAGGTTGGGATATGACTTTTTGTCAAAGATATGAGTCCTAACTATGCTGCCCAAACTGACCATAAGTTCCTGGACCAAGGTGATCCTCCTGCCTCTGGAACATCTTAGGCTATAGGTGTGGCCACAGTGCCCTACTCAGGGCTGTACCCTTTGATAAGCAGGCAAAGCTGCTATCTTAAACTCTATGAAATTCCAGTGGAAGGACACCCTTGCTATGACCCAGAAAACAAGAGCTGAGCAGGCTGAGGCAGATAGTAAAGCCCCTTTCTGAAAAGGCCAAACAGACCCTACACAGAGTCAGGATTCCCTACTGGAAGGCAGCAGTCTTCAGCCATTTGCTTCATGCTGAAGATTCTGGTTTTGTGCCTAATGTACTAGACTCGGAGAAAATAAACCTTATTTCTAAGCTGGATGTTTCTGGGGTGGTTTTGATTTTTGTTTGTTGGTTTTGTTTTGTTTTGTTTTGTTTATTTTTCAAGACAGCATTCCTCTGTGTAGCCCTGTCTGTGCTAGAACTCGTTTTGTAGACCAGGGAGGCTTGGACTCACAGAGATCCACCTGCCTCTTCCTTCCTGAGCACTGGGATTAAAGGAGTGCACAACCACTGCCCAGTTAATGGTTCTGTTTTTTAAGTGTTGCTTAAAGAGGCAATACTATTGTTTATGGTGGCAGGACTTGGGACTAGTGAGATGTCTAAGCTAGTGAAACGTGACTCCCCACAAACCTGGTGACCAGAATTTAGACCTCAGAATTTACCCATCGGAAGGAGGGAACCACATCCCCTCAAGTTGTCTTCTGACTTTTGTGCAAGCACAGTGGTGCTTGAGTGTGTGTGTGTGTGCACGCGTGCACGCGCACGCACACACACACACACACACACACACACACACACACACAAAACCACTGTAGTGAAAATTTAAGGTGACAGGTATGGAGGCTGAGAGCGTAGCTCAGCAGTAGAGCGCTGGCCTAGCCTGACAGGGTCCTGGATTCGAAGCCCACTGCTGTAAAACAAACAAACAAATGAGCTAACAAAGGGGCAGTTGTTAGAGGATAAAGTAGTGCTTTAACTGACAGCCTTTCTTTCCCTCTGGGCCACACCCTCTCTGGTACCCAATGAGCAAACTGGAACAGAATAAAAATGCTACAGGCGTGCCGTCTGGGAGCAAACAGGACCTTGGAAGGGCGGAGCGGGGCGCGGGGGGGGGGGCCTTCCATCCCGCTTCACTCCTTTTAAGTAGGTGGAACTTTTTCCGTGAAGCGACTGTGACAAGCCCTGAGCCCAGGGTTGTTTTATCACATTTTGGCAGAACCTCAAGCAAAACCCTGTCCTTTAAATCCCTCCGGGGACTTGAAATTTTTCAATCTGAAAGTCAAGCTTGTGAACGGCTGCGCATGAAATAAAAATGTGGTGAAGATTTTCTCGCGTTCCCGGGTTATAATAACTGTTATTCCATGAGAGTTTCTCAAAGTCTCCGAGACTTACCCGGCAGCCTGAGCTTCTCACAGCAGGAGTTGCAGCGATGTTTTGCAATGAAGTTTCTAATTGCATCTTCCCCTAAATTGGCCGGTCCAAACACCATCCCTCTTGATCTACAGGGAATATCAGAATATCAATTAGATCACAGCTGAGGAAACGGAGTCCAACTAGGATTCTCTGAGATTGCGAACAGTATCCCGTAGTAACCTAGTCACTTAAAGGAGCCAACCAGGAACAGAGCACTTTGGGGAAGTAACAATGTTAGGTTTGCAAATTTAAAATTCAAATGCACTTAAATCTTTGTACCCAACTCCAAGACCTACTGTGAAACTCATTCCAACACTGATCTGATAGAAGAGTGAATTTTCGATGTGCTACATTAAAACAAAATACAGCGAAACCCTTCTGAATACATATGGGGTGAGAGAACGACATTCATTACCATATGCGCTACCAGAACATCCCAAAGGTAAAGGCTAGGCTAACTTTGCTGAGGAGCGCACCTTCTAAAAAGATATACAAAGCCGCACACCCACATACTTTTTCTCCATTTCCAACGCCTCACTAGCCACCAGAGCCAGTACTCCTGGCTTTTTGAAAGCCACTTTTGACTCTGCAAACTGTTTCAACTGGGTCTTCACGGAAAGTAAAGACAACTATTAGACGAGACAAACCGCTTGTGGGAATAGACCGCAGACGCCCAGAGTAGGTAGTAGAATTAATCACACGAGCGCCGGGAGTCAGTGTCTCTGAGACACATTTTGAACATTCTAATATAAAGATCCTCTGCAGATTCCAGGCTCGCTGTTCACGCAACCATTATTCTGTAGATCTTGACCCTCTGCACAACGCAGGACGGAGCACACCAGGACCGCCTCCAAAGAAAGTGTATGAAAGCTAATATTTTATTTTAATGACATGCACAGTGGAAACAGCACATTTTAAAATCTGAACTCAATTACCGCTCTTAAATACCACGTCTTAAGAAGAAGAAGGAGAAGAGAGAAAAAAAAAAAGCACAGCAGACTATCACAAAGGGAAACAATAAACTTTGCTTCTGAGGAATGCGGTTTCTCAAAAGGGACATGGTGTAAAAATGGACTTTTTTTCCATCCGAGGATTGAAGCATTTATCTCAATTTCCACTTCCTTTTGGCAGAACAGTGGCTCTCTGAAGATGCGCCAAGCTCGGAATGAGGGCTGATGTCAATTTGATCTCAGATTGCCTCTCGCTCTGTGCTGGGTAGGTGGAGAAAACCTCTTGGGAAGACAGAGTGGAAAGACACTGGGGATTAACTTTCCTGGTCACTCAATCGCTCACACAAAGCGCAGCTCTGGGGGTATTTACCAGGCAGCAGAAGCCGCCTCTTGTTAACTCTGCCTCCATTTCAGTCCAGCTGGAGAGACTCTGCTTCAGTCAGGTGAAACTGAAAGGGGCAGAAAACAAAAACAAAAAAACAAAAAAAAAACCCAGCAGAATCACTCGGTATTTAGACCAGAATGCTCTGATCTGATAAAGTGAGAGATGAAGGCCTTTGCTCAGTCATTAGCATGGAAGATTTCCTTTGGAGTCTCTCTGTGACCTCGTTGGAAAATTTCACTTCTTTGCACCCCAAACCAGCCATTTCTGTCCTTCCAGCAAGACACGAAGACACCCAACTAAAATATAATATTTTCAAGTAATATCTGGAAGTTATTTGTCTCTGAGAGTTTCATGAAAATTAAAAAATGAAATCATCAAAAATCTCTGCCAAAAAAAAAAATTCTCTATCAGGGTCATGAGGATTCCCAGAGCAGAGGGAAAGAGTTGTAGGGACATTCCGTGTGCGTGGACACCCCACAGCACGCTCCAAGCTTTGCATTCTCAGACAACCAAGTTTTCAAGGAAAACGCAACTCGCTGTTTTCCAGATTTTTTTTTTTTTTTACAACACAGGAAAAGCAGGTGGTAGCGTGGTTCTACATACGAGGAAACGCTAATTAGTGCTATCTATACATAGTCACGAAAGAACATCTCTCTCAGCACCATTTCATACTTGTCAAACACTCAGAACCATCAGGCAGTAGGCTAAAAAGACACCGTCCCAAACTACCAATAAATGAGGCTCGCTAGGGAGAGTCTGAGACAGCGGGAGCAGGCATGAGAAAGGACATTAGAATCAGTCCACAAAGCCATCGTCCCTTTCCATAATAACTGTTCCCTTCCTTTGATTCTTTCACCTTACAAGGAAGTTGGAACTTGGAGTGAGCCTTAGTATTCTCATCTGTGAACTGGGGTTAAACTAACACGTAGAGTGGTTGAGTGAGTGAACGCGATAGCTTAAATCTGTGCACCTCAGACTTGAATTCACATCGGTTCACCAGGAGACTTTACGGAAGTTCAGATCCTGGCTCCTTAGGTACAGAGAAGCCCAGAGGCCATGCATTCCCACCAAAGTCCCCAACGGTGATGTTGACCTATGGTTCACACTTTGTTTAACAGATTTTTACACTCATGAGGGTCATTGACTAATTAGATACAGTTCTAATGAAACTAACCAGTTGACAGAAAATAAAACAGAAGGTCACTGAAAACCAAATGCACAGAATTGGGCATTGGCACAATGAAACCACTCTACCTGATTCAGGAGACGCTGCCCTCAAGTGACAGAAAACAAAGTTGTCATAATAATTTCACTGCACTGAGGAACTTTAAAAAAAATTACAGGAGGGAGAGACAACTGGAATTGAAGGACATTTAGGGGACAATGTGGTAACCTAGTGCAGCAGAAATTCCCTGAAATCTTCAAGATTGACCCAATCAAAGAGTCCTAGTAATGGGGGATATGGGCCATCTTCTACAACCAGGCAAAGTTTCCAAAAGCAGAACTAGGACCCCAAACCCAGACACAAAACCTTCCATCTACAATCTGTCCTGCCTCCAAGATGTGTTAGGGTAACAGTGACACAGAACTTCTGGGAGTGACCAACCAATGACTGGTCCAACTTGAGGTCCACACCAAGAGAGGGAGTCCACACTGACACTGCCTAGATTCCCAGGAACTGGAGTCTGGACAGCCCAGAAACTCAGGACGTAACCAAACAAGACCGGGAAATTTTCCATAAAAAGTTTACTAATGATATTCTGCTATACTCATAGATTGGTGGCTAGCCCAAATGTCATCAGAGAGGTGTCATCCAGCAACTGATGGGAGCAGATGCAGATACCCATAGCCAAACACTAGGCAGGGTCAGAGGAACCCCACATAACAGGGTGGGGTATGCAGGAGCCGGAGGGGTCGAGGACACCATGAGAACACACCCACAGAATCAACTAAGCAGGGTTTGTAGGAGCTGACAGAGATTGAAGCAACAATCACAGACCCTGTATGGGTCTGAGCTAAGCCTTCTGCCTATTCGTTATGGTTACGTAGCTGGGTGTTACCCCTAACAGTGAGAGTGGGGGGACCTCTGACGTTCCCCCCTCCTGATCTTGTGACCTTTTTCCTACTGTTGAGTTGCCTTATCCAACCTTGATATGGAGGTTTGTGCCTAGTTTTATTGTAATTCATTATGCTGTGCTCAGTTGATGTTCCTTTTTTAAGAGAAACGGAGGAAGAGTGGATCTGGGGGAGAGGGGAGGTGTGGGGAGCGCTGGGAAGAGTGGAAGGAGGGGAAACTGCAGTCAGGTTGTAATGTATGAGAGAAAAAGAAAAAATTACAGAGGCCAGGGCCCTATTCAGACATTGCAATAAAATGCCAAGCATGTTTTTTTCTAATTCCCCCAGGTGACCTTAATAGAAATTGAAACCCGCTTTCTATAGAATGCAATTAAATACCTAACTGTCAAGTAGGATAATATAATCTTAGATTCTAAAAGGATGGAGTATTCAGGTCATATTAAGTGATATATGCCAAGGTCAAAATTTAATGAACAATAGACAGAGTACACATAAACTGAGTTCATTATATATGCAAAAAGTCTGCAAAATTGCAAAGAAAGTTCTCCTATAAAAAAATTTCCTAATACAAGTCCTTGAGCACACAAGACTGCTGAAGAAATAATATACTTAGCTGAAAACACTTCAGCTCTGCTAAAATAAAATAATAAAACAGTCCATTATCCCCTCAAGTCCAACATGGACGCTATAACCAAATAAGTATCTTTGGAACTGGATGCTGCACAGGGGCCCTGTGGATCAGCTCGGTCTTCCTTAGCCCACCCAGGCCAATAAAATAGACTCTGAGTAGACGAGCGTCTTCTCAGGGAACATGGATGGGCCATGTTCTCATTCAGTAACGGTTACCCAGTGACGGGATGGTGCAGTAATGCACTGATTATTTAGTGAGAACTGGAAGAAGGAAAAGCAACACTTTTACATTTCACTGTGTCCGGACTTTCAATTTATTGAGTCCTAAATGTTTTCTACGACCTGGCAACCGAGTCTGGACCCTTAGTTTGACTAAAAAGTAAAAACAAAAATGTCAACCCAGCATGGATACTATAATCTCAGCACTAAGAAGGCAGAGGCTCGAGGACCCAGAGCTCGAGCCCTCCACGAGCTACCCAACAGTGAGATGCCAACACAATTAAGAAATGAATTCATTAGGAATTTAAAGTGTCATTCGAGCCATGGTTCTTCAAGTGCCTGTGGCCCTGTGGCATCAACCTCTCCTGCAAGGCGTTAGAAGTGCAGATCATTTGGCCCTACCGCAAAACAATTAGATCAGAAACTCTGGAGGTGAAACGCAGAATCTAGTTCAACAAGTTCTCTTGGTGATCATGATGGCAACTCACAGGTAAGCATTGTTAGTCTCCATATTGATCACAACAACCACTGCTGCCCTCTGGATTGACCAGTCACCAGTCCATCGGCACCGTCACCTCTTTCCGTCCCTCCTTTAACAGAGCACCCAAGAGCCTTAAGATGGGTGGCCGACTCTGTATATCTTGGCTCCAAATTATCTCAGACCATCTGATGACGCCTTATATTCAAGCACTGTGGCTTTGAGTCCTCACGTATCTCTCCGATTTGCCCCATTAAGAGACTGCCTAGGCTCAAGGCCACCATTCCACAGGGAAGAACAACAAAGGAAGCTGCTTTCGCTACAGCACCTTTTTACGTCAAGCTAAATTTACACATTTCCCCCTTACATTTAGACCAGGAAGAAAACGCAAGAGTCAAATTTGCAGCCCAAATCGAGAAATTGTGCTGCCCCTTACAATGCCCACTCACACTTACTAACCCGTCTCTAGAATGAAACTTATTTCACCCTCATTCTTTTCCTTATTCATTACCTATTTAAAGTGACTTAGAAAATCTTGTTTAAGTGTAAGAATCTCGATTTAAGTCTAAAACTATTGTTTCTTATCTCTGTGCAATAAGTGTTGGAAAACTTCTCTGGGATCTAAAAGACACACATATATTTAAAACTCCTCCAAGAAACTGCAACAGACCTCTGCTCACAACACCCTGCTCATTTCCACTGTCTTATTTTGGTTTTGAAAAAAAAACTAAAAAATACTGGGATCAGTGGTTAACAACATCGGGTAACTCTTCCAGAGAACTCAGGGTTCAATTTCCAGCATCTACAAGGCAGCTCACAAATATCTATAACTCCAGTTCCAGGCGATCCAAATGCTCTCCCTTGGTCTCCAGGAACCCAGGCATTCACATGAGGCATAAACAAAACATATGGGCAAAACATCCTTAGGTATAATAGCAAATCAATTTTTAAGTTATGAAAACAGAACCATTGAACATTATATAATCTATGCACATAACAAACATGACATGATACTCATTAATACATATAATCTTATAACTTTTTGCAACAATTAAAAATAATGTTACAAACTTGAACAACTTGAAGTGCAATCTTCTAAATTATCACACGTAAGTTAACTCACTGTTTGTCTTCAGGTTTTATAACAGACGGATCTGTCAAGTTTTCTCCAACACCTCAAAAGAAGAAACAAAATTCGTTAAGCAAATGAGGTTTGATTTTTCTAAGAAACACAGAAAAATAATAACCAAATTCCGTTTCCTTATTTTGAAGGTTACATTGAAACCAGATATGGTGACTCACCCCTGCAAACCCAACACTAGGGAGGCTAAAGTGGGAGGATTGCCACCAGTTCAAGGCTAGTCTGAGCTGTATAGTAAATTCTAGGTCAGCCTGATCTACAGTGTGAGACCCTGTGTCGTTTACTCCATAGTAGGTAAGACTTAAAAAACCATGATAATTAAATGTGCTATGAAAATTATTTAGGAAATTTAGAAAAATTATTGAATACAGCATCTCCTACAACAGCCCCCTCTGAATTAATGAACATCTGGCTACAAATTAGTGTTTCAAGGGTGTCATAAGACTTGCTGCTAGTGGCATTCTCTCTGTAGACCTGTGTATCGGCATTTCATTTACCAGTTCTATACACTAAGACAGCTAACTTTATTTTCTCTAATCCTCATGAAAGGAAAAATACTATCCTCATATCCTCAATTTACATCTCACCCTCATTTACATCAATGAGTACATTGATGTTCAAAGAGATGGAAGAACTCGCCAACGATGGCTTTCCCTTAAGTGGCCATAACAGGATTAAAGCTGGGGCAATGCTTGTGTTCCTCCCACCAGTTCATGGTCTCCTTAGATGGCCTCCATCAGTGCTCAGCAAGGGCACGGCCCTGGGAGGTTTTGCAAATACAGCTTCTAGGCATCAAAGAGACCCATCAAATGCTCTGTCTATATACAGCGCTTATAAACAGCAGAACAAAACGACACCAAATTCTTGATCTGAGAGCTGGCTCCACCTGTGTGTTCAGTTGAGAAAATTCTTTGAGGTGGGTGCTTACGTTCTGTTCGCTTTTTGGGGTGTATCTTCAATAAAATTTAGTTTTGAAGAGAAAAGAGCAAAGCCTACAAAGATAATAGAGGTGCAACCGAAGGCTGAACTTAATCAGAACTGGGCTTGATACCCAAAGCAAACGTCTGTGATGCCATTCAGGCAGTGAGGAGGCTAACTTCTAACCTTGTGGACAGCTCAGGGAAGTCAGTTAGACAGCGATGAGCCACCTAGGCATCCCCAACAACTTCTGAGATCATTCCCTAGCTGGGCCTGTTTTTCTCTGCTTGAAAAACACTGACTTTGTAAGGCATGAAATCAAAAGTAATATGAACTTTAGAATATTGTGATCTATTACTACTTGTTGGGAAAAGTTCATGTTTTGTTGAAGTGAAAGGGGGAAAATGTCAAGGGACGCCACCCCTAGACAAAGAACCTACAGAAAACTAAGGACTGCTGAGAGAGAGACAGCATTAGACTTCTCCAGGGACGAGTCCTACACCAGTTAACTAATACCAAGTGGTCATCCCTGAAATCACATGCATACAGGCAAAACTAAAAGAACTTTGCAGATTATATTTACATGCTTTTGCATATGTATTTATATATAATACATACATATATATATGTGTGTGTGTGTGTGTATATATATATACATATATATATATCAAAGGAAAAGTAACCATGAATTTGAGAGGGAATCGGGGGAGGTACATGGGAAAGGTTGGAGGGAGGGGTCACAGGAGAGGTTGGAGGAAGGAAAAGAAAAAGAGGAAATGATGCAATTATATTTTAATTAAAATAACTTATTTTAAAAATAAATTATTGTTTTTTAAAAAGACAAAAGCCATATTTCCTAAACAGTATCTCTTAAAGATTTCTGCTGTGACTTCTCTCTTGGAATAGTAACCTTTTCAGAGGAACCAAAAATTCTTACAAAGATTTCTGATAAGAAGCTGATTTCCTCAGGAAAATAACATTTTAGAATGCATGATTTAAATATGTAACAAAGGAAATATATGATCCTGAAAGGTTTTATCAAAACATTTTAACTACTGTATTACAATACATACGGGTGTTTGTTTAATAGTACGTTCAATAACAGGATCTACCCCATCTGTTTTCCAGAAGCATATCTAACAAATGATAACTGCAAACTGTGTTTTGAAATCTGCCTGCATTGCATGGTGCTGTGTTAATATCTGCAGCTCCTCTTTCTGATAGTCACAGATGATGATGATGTCACTGTGGGTTTGTGGTCTGGCTAATAATGGAAGATGGTGGATTTCAGTTATGGGTTAGTGGCAAAAAGGTGTAACTTAGTTTCTCATCAAAGTTTCCCAACTCTGAGAGGACCCTTTCCCAAGCCCTAGCCTGGAAAGTTTTCGCGCTGATTTTGAACAGGGCAAGAAAAAGTTGGGCTGAAACACAAACACAAGGCAAGTGTGAAAAGCAGACCTTGCTGAGCCCTCACATTTTCAAAGCCACGGGAAGGAGCTCTTTGTACTTTTCTCGCCACATAGACAAGAGGGACAGCTGAGGGAGCCCCTGCTTCTCTACAGCCATGGAGGGAACAAACAGAATACCAGGCAGAAATGTATCCCAGCACTGCGGGTAGACAGGCTGACGGTTGTAGTCTTCGCCATTTTAATTAAACATGGGTTGAACCTTAAGCCTGGAGCTTACAGCAATGACTAAAGTTTTAAACCCTTGTCTAAGTAAAGCGCAAATTTAAGCCAGGACTACCTATAGTAGCTGAAGAAGCACTATTAGTTGGGGGGAGGGGGGTCTTTACAGAGTTAAAATTTTTTTTGTCTAAATCTTATTACAGAACCTCTATAGCTTGTTAGACACACAGAAAGAGAGAGGTTCCACTTCAAATTCTGCCATGTTCTATCTGTAAGGCCTCAGTACCCTGTTTAATCTCCCTGAAGCCCGCTTTTGTCATCTGAGAGTGTCGCATCCCGGTCTTATCAAAGAGGGCTAGGGGGGAATTCAATGAGCTGCGTCTAACCCATAAGAAGCTTCCAATGTCAGCTGTTACTCCATTTTCTGTATTCTATCTAGAAGCTCCCATACCAGCAGTAAAGCCATGTTTATCTCTCATTCCCCAAAAGTATATTTCCTAGTACTAAAGAACATCTTAAAAGAGGGGTTAAAAAGTATACACCAGCCCATTTTTAGATGTTAAAGCACAACTCTATGTTTTATATGATAAAACTTAGCTTAAATACTTATTTTGAGGTGTTCTAATGGAAGAAGGGCTTTATGACCCAGGAACAGGGAGAGAAGGCCCCAAAGAGCAACGATTCAATGCCCTCCACATCACTTAGCCAGACTGAGTCACTCAGCTCTTCTAGCCACACAAGAGCACCCAACCCAAGACAACTGGTCTCGGACCCTCCTGATATTTGCAAAATATGGAACAATTAAGCTGATTGGATATCTAAACATCCTGGTGCTCTCTCTTTACTGATGTCATTATGAATAAATACCCATACCCAGAGAAAGCCCAGAAACATCCATGGAACTTCATCCAGCTCGGCATCACCAGTGACCTCCATTCCCAAATCTATGCAAACAGGTCACCTCTGTGTAGTGACATCATTCATGGTGATGTGGGTGCTAACTTTTTCTAGAAAATGCTTTATTAAACAAAAAATTAGGACTGTATCTCCAAAAGTCCACTGAAAAATAGAATAAGACAAAGAAACTAAACATTGCTCTAATTTGGAATGCAGTTGTTTTTAATTTCCACTGCTGGGAATTAACTGTTGGACTTCAAGTGCAGTGACGATGATTCAAGCCTTCCCATGTAAGATTTTGAAGTGGAAAAAGACCAGAAAACTTCATTAGACTTATAAATAATGGGGAATTGGTCACGCCTCTCCTCAGAGCTCAGCTTCCTAGAATGCTATGGCTGTTTCCGGGTTTCATTCTTTTCGGAAGAATGAAATAAGAAAAAGGAAAACAGAAAAAGACCAAGTGCCCAAGTATTTCTTCACCCTTCTTCCTCTCAAGCAGCAACAAGTAGGGTCTGGTGGAGAGGGGGTCCTGTGGTACCCCAGGGTCAAACAGCTAAGGATAGCTTCCCCATACCTGAAGCTTAAATTCCCCTTCAAAGAGCCATTCAAGGGTTACTCCTGACAACAGCAGGTGACATTTATCAAGGGCTTGATACATGTGGAGAACTCACCTCAGCTGAGCTCGTTAGGAATTTAATAACCAAGCGACTTAAAGGCATAATACTATTTTTCCCCTTTACAACTGAGGGAGGTGGGACTCAAGGTGGTTGCTCCTCAAGGCATACAAGCAATTCACTGTAGGGCCTGGCAGAATGCATCATCTTTCCAGACACTAAAAATACTAGTAAATAAAGGGCTTTAGAAAAGTAAGCAAGAAAATCTTAAAAACACAATTTTCCTTTCCAACCTTATTCAGCGTTAACTAGCAACAGCATTATAATTTTATAATTAGTGGGATAGACTCATGTTTTTCCACGAATTCAGACCAACAATTATCTAGCTCTCTGATAAGTTTCATGCATTTCATAACACCTAGCCTGTGGTTCTGTGATGTCCACTCAGGCCTTCTTTGAAGGTCGATGTTTTGACATAGTTGACTTGCAGGGACCTATTTCAGCAATTCACATAATTACTCAGGAAAAGAATAAAGTTAATTCCCTTTTCCCTCCAAGACTATAATCGCAACATTTGTTCTGTTTAATGTCACTTTGGATTACTAAGAAACATAAAAATCCCCAAACATAAACATCATTAAACAAAACCCTATTCAAGTGAAACACAAAACACACTGAAGAGTCATCATTAATTCCTTAAAGTTTTTCTTTGGTTGTTTGTTGTTATTGTTTCTGTTTTTGCTTTTTTAAAACAACTCCACCCAAAATTCAAAGCAAAAACACAAACAGTGGAGCACAGATGAAAACAATCAAGGTTTCTCCGCCAGAAGTACAAAACAGATGCTGTTGGCACCCCCACTCCGGGCTGATTTTCATCAAGTGCTTATTGGTATAAAAAGCTGGATTCTTTTTCACATTAATTCAGTTTATATCCCTTCCTGAAAAAATTGTTTTAGAGTTTTAGAAATATAACCCAGCCTTGAGAACATCGGGGGTATCAGAAGACAGATGTGCTTAGTAATATGTGCAATGCTTTAAGTGTTCATGGATCACTGAGCATGTCACAGAGACTTCCAAGTGACTGCCTAGTCCTGGACATTGCTCCTGATGCCCTAGGAGTGTCCATTTCCCCAGCCTCAGACCTGGTTTTGCCAAGAACTAGAAAGGAAAATCAGAAAGGAAAAGAAGAAAGTTCATGTTGTTTAAATATACCCGAAGATGGTCATTTCTTCTCAGAATGACACTCCTACAGAAATACTGGGACTTAGGGAGGAGAAAAGGATAGTAGGAAGACACCAGCTGAAGTCTACATCCCACTTCCCCTTTAAAACCTGTGCAACCTGAGGCAAGTTATTTAAACCTTCTGGTCCTAAATTCCCAGTGATATATACTTCCGTGTGCTGCTGCTGGGGTTAAATGAGGTAACTTGTAGGACATGTCTGGGCCAGATCCCTTATTTGAATCCAAAGCTCCAGCTCATGAGCCCAAGAACGAAACTTTGGCCAGAACTCATATTCTGTGGCCTCCTCCTGAGGAAAACCTCCTGGGGACACACTGACTGTGCTGTGGGATTAAACATCTCTCTGGCAGGAGGTGCTGACTGTGGGCGATACTGGATCAAAGGCTTCATTAAACAAGCGTGTACTCCAGCCCTCTCTTGGAGCCAAGGACTTCCCTGAACCGAACTGCCATATCAAGGAATACATCAAACATAATGAACTAACTTATAAATTGCCAAGGCAGTAAACTAAAAATAATAAAAAGTATCCAGAATTGAAGCTTTCCCACGTATGCAGATACACAGTTGATGTTTCTGGTAAGCAGAAGATAAGGCAAAGTGATAACACGCAAACAAATGATACAAAAATCATTCCCCATCTACTTAACTGTTCAAGATGTAAATAGTTAACTCTCTGCCTATATTTCCCCCTCTGGCTAAGTAGAATCCAGCAGAGTGGGTACCCACGCTCGTTATCCCCCAATGTCTCAGAACTAAATGCCTGTATCTCTCTCCCACGCTGGGTAGAACAGCTCCACGTGCCCACCCTAGTTCTTGCGAGATGTCTAGGAACTCGGCCTCCTGCATCGTCAATTAGTTACCTTGCAAATCTAAAACCAGCAGCTCTCCCCGGGTATACTCATATGTCCAGTGAGAGAAAGCCAGCATCAGCTCCTCGAGGGTGTTGGTGGGGGCAATTTCGTCACCATTGTTGTTATTGTATTTCCGGAACTCCCCTGTCATGTACTTCTCAATGGTTAACCATTGGTTAGCTGAATGGCAGTAGATCAAGAAAACCTCCAGAAACCTGTGAGGGAAAAAGAAGCCAATGATCCCCTCCTCTCAGAAAGGAAGCCTAGCAGTTACCCTTCAGAACACTCAACCACAAACGCCATTTGACCTTGGCCTTTCTATGGACAGAGGAAACAGCACAGCTGGGAGGTTTGTTCCCAAGCTTGCTCGTCTCCCTTTTCTTTGAGAAAAGTTGCCAACTTTTTTTCTGAGTACCGGATCCAACTTTTCATGCTGGGCTCTATAAAATTTCTTGTAAAATAGAGGAAAGGGTTTTATTCTAATTTCTCAGCACGAAATTATGATCTGCCTTGATAAGTGAATATAAGCATATTAAGACACCCAAGGGAAAATAATGAAGCTTCATGATTGCAAGCTTCCTAATTGGTTTAGGATGCTAAGGAGACAGCTAAGTTTTAAGTAGACATGTTTTGAGGCCATAATACCCCTAGATATTAGCGACTACACCCAGCTTCTGCCTGTCTCACCTATCTGAAATGTTTGTCGTCGATCTGTCTGAACTTTATTTCTACTCACATAAGTTCAGGAAGTGAAACCCAGATATGTCTGGAACATTTAACTATCTTTATACCAGTCTGTATAACTATTAAAGGAAGAACCCTGAAAAGGGTCATGGAGAACCTTCCCCTTGGGTCTGGTATTTCTCGTGTCTAATGGGCTGAGAAGAGGTTAAATGGAGTTCTTATAATGAAGAACCACAGTGGCAGGTTTACCCACCTTGGTGTATAGGGTATAGTTTGTGGTTTGACTTGGTTGAAGGTATAGATGAGTTTTTGGGCAGCTCTTTGCTGTTGAATTTCCTAAAAAAACAAAACAAAAAACAAAAAAAAGAAGAATTGATTAAAATATATATTTATAATATATATGTGTATATATGTATATACACACATATATATATATATGTGTGTATATATATCAAATACGTGTGTATGGGGAGGTGTTTAGGGACAAACTTCCTGATAGGTTATCTAAATCACAAGCAGTCAACCTTAAACACATATGTGTAAGAGCAACATTAAATGAACCTAGTAGTGTGTGTGTGTGTGTGTGTGTGTGTGTATGAGAGAGAGAAAGAGAGAGAGATAGAGATCAATATCAAGTATCCATAATAATTATAGAAAAAGAGGTAAAGAATTTGGCAGAGAATCTGGGGGTATAGGAGGGGTTGGAGAGGAAGAAAGGACTGAAAATGTTGTAATGAAATTCCCCAAAAAAATAAATATTTGTTTACTAACCTTACTCTTCTTATTAAAGCTCAAACAGTCCCCAATTGCCCAACATTTAACATTATTTAGCTTCTAGTACTCTATACCCCAAAAGCAAGTGTCCTACAGAACAAAAATAATAAAACGCTGCCACCACCTTCAAAACCTAACAACCTCCCTTTGGTTGATGAAAACCCATCTTAAATAAAAATGCAGCCAGGTTTCTACACTTCTGTTTTGTCCATCTCGGCTCTGGGTCTCTCAACTTCAGACCTACCCTCAGGCAAAGATGAAGCACAGTGCTCTCTTGAAAGATTTTATACCACGTCTGTACAACCTCCGGGAGAAAGGACTTCACAATGAAAACCTGCCCGGGCTTGAGAACTTCATCCTCAGACCACGTGCTGATGACTCGCATGGCTTTGCGGAGACCCCCGTCCATTTCCTCTTGGGACAGCACCTGGATCATGGCAGCTCTCCCGTGCTGGGACCAAGAGGACATGCTCTTATCGAGAGTCAGAGGGGAACTCTCCTCAAGCCTGTAGATGGTCACCTCTTCTCCTGCTGCAATAAGAAGGGAAAGCCAGTTCAACAAAACAGCAGGTCTGGGGTGTGATTGGTGCCCTGAAGATCAACTCAGAATCAGTTCAATTGTCCCTGCGTTCAGAGGATGCAGCTAGCAGGAGCCAGAACAAGGTCAGGGCACAAATGGATCTGACTTGTCCACTGATGACGGTGGGGAGGGAGAGGAGGAACGATGCATCAAATAGCATATAAAAATTAAGTTGTGCTTATTATGAACTAATTAGACAAAAACAATATTAGAACAGCATGGCTAAGTTGCCACTGTTATACTTTTTGTTTGTTTGTTTGCTTGTTTGTTTTTCTTTTGTTTTTCAAGGTAGGGTTTCTCTGTAGCTTTGGAGCCTGTCCTGGAACTAGCTCTTGTAGACCAGGCTGGCCTCGAACTCACAGAGATCCTTCAGCCTCTGCCTCCTGAGTGCTGGGATTAAAGATATGTGCCACCACTGCCCGGCCACTGTTAGACTTTCTATTAGAGACATGGTTTGCTTTATAACTAAGACTGACCTAGCAATCATTATATATTCCAGAGTAGCTCCAAATTTCTGATTCTCCTGCCTTAGCCTTCTGAGTGATGAGATTATAGGCACCTGCTATGACACCTGGCTCAAAACAAATCTATCTCTAGAGACAGTTTAACCTAGAGTTAGCCATTTTTATAAGGCGCAAGTACTTTTATAACTGCCTTCCATACAATGTTAAATACACTGTGTACTCTTTGTGAGCTATATATGTATCTTCACTTTATACATGAAGGACATGATGGGTTTTGTTTTCTGGGTGTGGTTTTGCTTGTTGCACTTGCTCCATGAAGTGCAATTTGACCTCACCAAAAATGCATGGTTTTCCCCAGTGGGAATCACTCAGTACTAAGATCATACCCTGAGTCTCTACTATTTTCTTTTGCACTCATTAGCAAATTAGTGAAACCCTCTATTAATAAAAGGGAAAGATAACCTTTGTTTCAGTGGTCTGTAGTACAGATCACATATGTTATCAGGGTTGCAGCAAACTAGAATCTCAGAAACAGGCTCAACCCCACTGAAAAGGACTTTAGACACAACACACTGCGTAAGTGCAACACAGCACCCACTCGGAGCTTAGAGAGCAAGAAGGGGTCATTGCTGGACTCGGACTTCACCGATACAGTGTTATAGCTGCATGAGAGGAGTAACAAGCCACACAGAGTTCCCCTCAAAGTTGTAGCGCTTTGTTTTCTTACACTTTGCTTCAAATATCCGTTTGTTGTTGCTGCTGCTGCTGCTGCTGCTTGTTTGTTTGCTCTCTGTGGACATTGTATTGAGTTACCAGAAGGGAAGCCATCTATCCCCCTCATCCTTCTTCCTAATTCCTTATCAATAAGAGTATCTGAAGAATGTGTGGTGTAGTCTCAAATGTTTACTCTTGATGCCCAAGTGAATGCCACTGAGGAGCTCTCTGGAGTCCTAATTCCTGGAGGCTTTAGAGAAGAGCTATTGATTTGCAAAATGAGCCCTGGAGCCAAGGGGAAGAAGGAGGCATCTGCATAAACGATCAGAAGCCAACCTGGGCTCTGCCCGTTGGAACTGTGTGAGAATGAAGATGGTGGGCAGCATAGGCACCTTTGTTCTTCTGTCAACTGCTCACGCTTTATCCTGCAAGGCAGGAAAACTCCGATACTCTTGGCTAACACAAACTTGTTTTTCTTTACCGCTCCAGCTTTTAAAGACTACATTTGCAGCTCGAAGAAAGAGCAATCCATGTTCATGGAACAAATCAAACAGCTGTAAGACAACAAAGGGCTTCTCTTCCCAGGCCTGTCAGCTTTCTGCAGACTGCCATGTCCTGCTTTCTTCTCTGTCCATTATACAAGGTTGGTTTGCTCTTTTCTACCCTGTGCGTGTCCAGCCTAGAATCAGTGACCGCCAGCTGCGGCAGCACGCTGGTTTCCCCACTGTGGACCCCTGTAGGTCTCATCCCCATGGTATCAGTGTCTGAACCCCAAATGCTGGCCACAGTAGTTAACAAGAATTGCTACTTTGGGAAACGAATCTCCTTAGTCGACCACATGGCCAAAATGAAAACTGTGAGTCAAGTGAAGCAACATTGTGCTTTTGTTTCTTGTTTTTTTGGTTTTTGTTTTTTCTTTCTGTTGTGTGCCAGCATTCACTCCGCCCTCGCCTAACCTCAAGAAGGGGAGGGGGTATTACTCACCAAACAGCTGGATTGGTGTAAACGGGATGGTCTGAGAAAGCCTCATTAAATTATTCCTTTCAATGGCTACAAACAAAAACGGATTGACTACTTTAGCTCCGCATCAATGATTAAACTTACAGAGAACCCCCACATACCAAAGTACACATCAACTCCAGAATGTTTCATTTCAAACATCCTTTATCTTCTCCATTAGCAGAACTATTATAAATGATAGTTTTAAATATAAAATATGCCTTAAACAGTGAGCATACCTTATTCTCGGGAAATTTTACATGAGATTATGTAACATGTTTCTAAGATGGGGCTATCTTCTCGCTCTCCCAAATAACCAATTAGACACTAACTCAAATAATACTTAAGTCTTTCTTTTAAATGGATTTAATCTATGTCCCACAGTCTCTGCTTTCCTTTTTCCAAAGCAAACCCAGTGCACAGTGGTCTGTGGGGACACCTACTGTTGGTTTTGCGGAGCTGGCCGCCCTTTTTCCCAGAGAGAATGGAACACTAATTTTAATTAGAAGCAACTGATCTGCATTTTCCTGCCAAGAGCCATAGCCTAACAGATCAGAGTGCGTCTGAGTTACAGTATTCCTCACCAGAGACTCTCTACAGCTCGCAGTTAAAGTCCAAATAACAGATCACTGCTGAGCTGTAGGACCCAGTCATAGGAGCCTAGAGAAGGCTGGAGTCCACAGAACCATTATTCACCACAGAGGAGAACTCAGGATAAGACAGTCTGTTATGGAACCCTAAACAAATGCCCTTCATATAATAAGACTGGTAATTGAAGTGCCGGCAAGGTCTTGCTCACACTGAGTGCTAGACGGTGTGAAAGCCTTGTCCTTGCGTCAGCTCACCCACCAAGAGCAGCGACCACGGAGAAACCACACCAGGGCACAAATCCAGTTGCTCTAGGCTGCTTTGCATCTCAAAGTATCTGCCTCTTAATTCTCAGCTAGCCATTTGGCAGACTGTCCCTCCGAGAGGGAAAGGACAATCGTTCCCCCTCTGAAAGAAAGGCAGCTGAAAAGCTGGGAAGCCTTGCCCAATAACAGAGTCGAGCCCCTTGACATCTCTGTTTAACAGCATCTTTGCAAGGCATGTTTGTTGGCCTTAATGCCGTGAGAGGAGGCATCTATTTGGTGGTTGTGCTCGCCAAGGGAACCTTCAAGTTCACTGAGGACTTTCAAGTCTGCCCTTTTCCTGATCCAAATCATTCAGATCAGACTGGGGTATAGCTCAGTGGTAGATACTTGTCCAGCAAAGCTCTGGGTTCAAGCCCCAGCATGGCAATTAAAAGGGCACAGTACAAAGGACATTGCTCAAAACACTAAGATATTTGGATTTTGGCTAGCACTGAGCTTGCAAGGAAATTTTAGGCACCAAAGGTGTCTTCTCCTTCAAAACTTCTTGCATGTGAATTCTCTTAAATCCCAACAATTTGTTTCTCTGAGTCAGGGCCATGGTTGGGAAATCTAATTGTTCTAACTGTTAGAGTGAATGATCTTCTGAATTGGCGCTGTATTGATAATGTGGAGTTGATGGGTGTTCATGTTTACGAGGCAGAATCACACACGTTTAGCTCCAATGACCCATCTACACACATGCTTCCTACCTGAATAATGGTGGTGAGGCTCTTGAGGGCTCTTTAAGGAGGCCGAGATCTCTGAAATCATAGAAATGATTGGCACTTTAATTACTTGGCTGCAGATAAATACGTTTGTACACTGCCTTCAAAGTTACTATTAAATGGCTTCCTCAGAATAGCTACTCGCTATTCAGAAAAGCTCACCCAATACCCTTTAACTCATTATTGTTCATGGTATCCTGACAGCTTCCAATCATCAGTGTAATATCTCCAAGCATATTTATAGAGGGAATTGAAGAAAGACAGGTAATATTAGCCTCAAAGATGTAGTTCCTCTGAACCAATTACACCTCTGGGTTAGAGAGGGCACACAGCTGCCTATCATGACATCCCAGAAGCATGGTCCTCTGAGCTCCTTGCCAAGATGCATCTACCCGTGCAAAGACAATATTAATGCCAACTTATTAGCATGCTAGCTCATTGACTGAAACTAATGACAGAACATTAAGTATATGCCAGACACATCGGAGGGGGTGGCTAGTATCACAGCATGCCATTTGCTAAGCTATACCAGGACCCTATATAGGGAACGCCCCCTTCAATGTTAACTCTCACTTTCCTTTCTGTTCCAGCCCTAAATCATACGGCTCCAGAGAAATCCTTTGAAATAATTTTGCTGTTCCATGAAAATCAAAATTAAAGAGATGAAACTTCAGTCTCACAACAGCCAATGCTTTGCAACTACTAGAGTAAGCAGCCAAGTGAGCCTGGGATTACAGAGCATTCCGGCTCCTGTGGCCACATAACAAGGGAACAAGCGTCCTTTGAGGGGGCATGCTGAGACCTATGGTCAGCAGAAAAGGCTTCCATTTCTGAATTCAGTTGGTAGACTTTTGACTCCCACTATGGGTCACACTAGGCATGAGAAGGGACTAGGAAAAGGTGCTCGCCCTTCAGAAAGGTAAATGTGGTGGACTCGAGAAAAACTCATGCAACTGTTATCATAATTTTGCTAATTGATAATTGTTTATCTAATTATCAGTTTGCTAATTGATAATAAACCACGGAATATCAAGGTTTATGGATTTCCTTAATGCTAACTGGACGATGGAAGATCACAGTCATCTGATCAGTTTCAATCTAGACTTCAACATCTGAGGAGCTTCAAAACCTTGGTGGTATTTAACACATATTAACTGAGCACCGATGGACCACATGCCGGACTGCGCAGTACTCTCAGAGAAAGAGCAAGAACACAAGGAGAGTGGCTGGCTATGTGACCAGGCCCTATTCAGACATTTGGGGTACAGCATCCTGGAAATTGTACTGAAGAAAGCTTCCATGTGCAAGCATGTGCCTGACTCTGTGTCTGTAAAATATGACACTATTAATTGCTGCAGAGTCAATATGAGTTCAGTGGGTCTGCTCTCATGCAGAGGAACAACAGGAACGTTACAGTGGAAACAGGTTACACAAAGAATCTCAAGCTGGGGATGTAGCTCAGTGGGTAAGGTGCTTGCCTAGAGTACACAGTGTCCTGGACTCAAGCCTCAGAATCACAAACATAAAACAAAACAAAAACACATGAGCACACATTAGTTTTGATTTATCTGGGCAATTTCTATTTTTCTACTGAATTTTCTACTTTGTATGTATCTCAAATAGCAACAACAACCACAAAAAAAAACACAAAAAGAATAAAAGTCAAGAACTATAAAATTCATAACAGGACAATGAATTCCATTATCAATGAAATTAAAAATTAAAAATAAATGTTTAAATATAAGAACTTACTGTCAATTTCACTTGAGCTTCTTGCTCTGTTTGGGGGGAAATAAAATGATTTAGAAAATGCTGCTTTAAATCTTTTAATTTCCAAAACACTGAAAAATTATCTGAAACAGAAATAAAGAGTATATGTATATATGCATGCACATTTATATTTTATTATATCTTATGTAATATATATTTCACATATGTGTATGAAATTCGCTGCTCCATCTTATCCCTATTTTACCAATAGAGAAGTTTGTAGTCATACAATTATTTTCACACACACACACACACACAATAATGCCAGTAAGGCATGTAAATCACTTATTATCTATGCCCCAAGCTAATTGAGAAATGGTGGTGTTAGTGGTTTTAATTAGCTGTGTGATCACATAACATATATAAGATTTAACTGTGTTTGTGTTATTCTGGATCAATTAAACTAAAGGGTGCCTGAACTATGCAAAGCAGATGCCTACAAATGAGTCTGAGAATGTCTCTGGACAAGACCACAAATCAGTTTCATTAGCCCACGTGGCCCCTAAATGTTCACAGGCTGGAATTAGCTCTCTTTAAATTGTTACTTGTCCTGCTCAAGTGCACAAGTGGCCACGGGCAAGTCTGAATAAAAGCATTCGAAGAATATCTCCAGGATTTCAGGTCCTTAGGGAAGAAAGTACAATTACAATTATTGTTTAATTTCATGCTGCAATAACCCACCACTCAGGATGAGCACAAACTACTGAACCTTTGGGAGAAGAAAGTCATGTATCCTTTCGGTCTAGAAGCAGGCTTACGTGGGGCTGGGGTGGCAGTTCCCAAGAAAGGCCACGTCAATAGAGCTGAGGACCATAACTAAAAGACATCTTTTACCTTCTTTACATCAAATGGTCTTCCCACAGGGAGATTTCCCTCTACCCCTATGACTTTGTAGATGATTGATGCTGTAACTAGGAAAGTATACACACACACACACACACACACACACACACATACACACACATACACACACACATACACACACACATACACACACACATACACACACACACATACACACACACATACACACACACACACATATACACACACACACATACACACACACACACCCTCTACAGATGAAGTGGAAACATCACAGCAGCACAGAGCCAAACACCTGCAATGCTAGCTACTTAGGATACTGAGACAGGAGGATCACTTGAGCCCAGGAGTTTATGCCAGCCTGGGCAACATCATGAGACCATGTCTCTTGAAAAAAAAAATACTTTAAAAGAATGGAATCATCTTTACTTGGTTGTGTTTCAAATTCTATTTCTCCTAATAAACCAAATTCAGGAATATACTCAATATACCAGATTCTCTCCTTCCCATCTCACCCTCAGTCCTTGTCAGAGTGGATGCCTTGACAATTGGAATTCCACTGAAAATGAGGAAACCAAGACCAACCCCATTCTGTAAAAGGAACACACTGGGGAGAATGGGTTTTGAAATCTAGCGAACAAGGCCTGGAGTGAAGCTTGGTGGTTAAGAGCACTTGTTGCTCTTGCAGAAGACTTAGTCTCAGTTCTAAGTATCCACCTGGTCGATAGTGACTATCCATAACTCCAGATCCAAGAAATCCCATCTGGCCTCCGTGAATATTGCACACATGTTAGCTTAAATATATGCAGGGAAAATATATTAAATAAAAAATAGATACATAATTTATTTATATACATTCTAAAAATAGAAAATAAATTTAAACAAGCCTTCAGGTTTATTTGTTTGTTTTAAGATAAACCAACACATGTATTTTACACTGTAAACATATTCACAACCTTACTATCTGAAAAGATATAACAATCAATTCATGTGTGAACTTTTTGATACTACAAAGGAATTTTTTCTATTTGGTATTCTATATGTTTCTTTTTATTATTTTTATTGAGTTTACAAAGGAATTTTTCATCGACTGTCAAAGTATATATTTTATCACCCTATTCTTAAAGGGACTTGGGTGAGGAACTAGAAGCTGGAAAAGTCACCTCACATGAACTTTTTTCTTCCTACTCTGACCAAACTAAACTTTTGCTCCTTATCTTTGGAGGACAGGATCCAGAAGGTCCTGATGAAAGCCACACAGAAGTACTCACAGAAAACTCCTGTTGAGGTTGGTGTTCCTGGGACTCCATGAGGGGTTTGCATCTGGGTTCTGAGAATAAGGGAACGGACATTATGAATGCAACCAGCACATCCACCCCATCCTTTTAGTGGCTCATCAGCAAAACACACTCTTCCTCTGACTGGCTCAGTACCTCTCTTTAAGTCAACAAAGGAAACACAAACTAGAAAGATGCATAATGTCAACCTGTAATCAAGATAGCCCCATAGTTGATGGCTTTAACTGAATGAAACTACTTTTTTGGGGACACTGAAAGGAAAATGCAACATATGAAAAATTTTACAGAAATAGAGATTACTGAGCTAATGGTCTGAAAGAAGGAATGAAGGTCCTACTTGGCACATACAATGGATAATTTTATCAACTTAACATATTAAAAAGCACATAGGGTATTAATGAATGTGATAGTTTGAACATAATGGGGCCCCATAAATTCATAGGGAGTGGCACTATTAGGAGGTACGGCTTTGTTTGAGTGGGTATGGCCTTGTTGGAGGAAGTAAGTCATTGTGGGGGCAGACTTTGAGGTTTCTTGTGCTCAGAATACTGCCTAGTGAGTCAGTTAGCTTCCTGTAGCCTTCTGGTCAAGATACAACACTCTCAGCTCCAACATCACATCTGCCTGCATGCCACCATGCTACCTGTTATGATGATAATAGACTGAACTTTTGAAACTGTAAGTGAGACACCCCAATTAAATTGGCTTTTTTTTTTATGAGTTGCTGTGGTTATGGTGTCCCTTGGAAGCCTAGAAACCAAACTAAGTCAGAAGTTGGTACCAGAAGTGGGGTAAAGCCTGGTTATTGCCAGGCTAATAGGCCTGACCATGTATTTGTTTGGAGGAATTTGGACTTTGGTACTTTGGGTTTAGAAGGCAGTGGTGAAATGCTTTGAGCACTGATGAATGGACCACACTACTAAGAGCATAGAAGACAACGGTGCTAAGAGTTATTTGAACTATGGGAGACTGACTCAAGAGGTTTCAGGGGCGAAAGAATTTTAGTGTGCTGCCTAAAGATCATTCTTGTCATATTTTGGTGAACAAAGTAACTGTCTTTTGCCTTTGTCTGAAGAATCTACCTGAGGATAAAGAGTTTTGGATTAATTCCATTGGCAGAGGAAATCTCCAAACAGTCTAGTACAGACTCTGCCATGTGTTTTTTAGTAGTAATTGTAATGAAGATTTACAATGAAGAGAAGCAAGCTGAGCAAGGTAAATTGCAAAATTAAAGTTTTGAGGAGAAAAAGAGCAACAGGAAGTGGAATAGAGCTAAATTATGTATTCAAGGAGATAAATGGGTTAAGAAATAGAATGAAGGGAGTGGTAACCTCATGGCAAGATCCCACCCAGCGAACGTTCCAACTTGTGAAAAGGAACTTTTAAAAAAAAAAAAGATGCTTAGAGCCAGGTGTTGAGGGGCATACACTGGGAAGGTAGAGGCTTGCAGATCTCTGAGATTGAAGCCAATCTGGTCCATATAACAAGTTTCAGAACAGGTAAGCTTAGGCAGTGAAAGACAGAAAGCTGGTAAAGATGTAACTGAAAGAAAAGATCAGGTTACAGCCCCATCAAGCAGCAGAATTTGGCAACTTTGGTTACATGACTCTGGGTTTGGAGTTAAGGACAGTAGAAATTGAATTATGGAATAAAGTCACTGAGGCCAGGCATGAGTCAGGGCTATCTCTGAATGGAGGCCTAGTAGAGAGGCCATTATGTGAAGGTGTAAAGTTGCAGCCTGTATTGCCTTGGAGAACCCAGAATGTTAGAGATGTCAGAGTCCTGGGATACATGCTGAGGAGAGCTGCTAACAGGGGATGGAACCAGCCCAAGAGAAAGAAGTGTGCTGCAGTCAACAGAGCTGGACAGCTGGAGAGCTGAAGAGCCGTTTGATATCAAACATGGAGATACAGAGTTTGAAGCTTGCCCAGCTGATTTTAGTCTTGCTTTGGTCCAGTATTTCCTTGCTGTGCTCCCTACCCTGAATTTTAGAATGGTAATGTACGTCCTATACCATTATATATTGGAAACATGTGATCTGTTTTTTGATTTTGATTTTTTACAGGGGGTTACAGTTAAGAGATTGCATGAGTCTCAGAAGAGACTTTGAACTTCAGACTTTAAAGCAAGAGACTGTTAGAGACTATGGGGACTTTTGAAATTAGACTAAATGTCATTTGCATTATGATAGTGTTACAAGTTTATGGAGACCAGGGAGTGGAATGTGGTAGTTTGAATATAAATGGCCCCCTTAATCTCATAGGGAGTGGCACTGTTAGGAGGTGTGGTTTTGTTGGAATGGGTATGGTCTTGTTGGAGGAAGTGAGTCATTGTGGGGGCAGGCTTTGAGGTTTCCTATGCTCAAAATACTGCCCAGTGAGTCAGTTGACTTCCTTTTGCCTTCTGGTCAAGATGTAGCACTCCCAGATCCAGCACCATATCTGACTGCCTGCCACCATGCTCCATATTATGGTGATGATAGACTGAACCTTTGAACCTGTAAACGAGCCACCCCAACCAAATGTTTATAAGAGTTGCTGTGGTAATGGTGTCTCATTACAGCAATAGGAAGCTAACTAAGACAATGAGGTACTCCTCTGGCTGCTACTGTGAGGATGTTTCCAGAGAGGATTAACTCAGGTGGGAAGACACATTCTGAAGGAGGTTGGCACCATGCCATGGCCTGGGGCTCCAAACTGACTTAAAAACCGAGATGAGAAAGCATTCCCTTCCTGAATCCCGCTCTGTAGACATGGGAACACGCATCCAGCTACCACAACTCTCTGCGACTCCTACATTCAATTGGGCCTTCCAGGCCCTTGCTTGACTGCATGCTCACAAACAGCCAAAAATAGCCTTTGTGTGGCCCCCATGGGGTTTCCTTTTGCTAGGTATTTAGAAATATCGACTATTACATCATAGCATCCCAGTCGTAAGTACACAACAGTTCCAGGCGATGGCGGGGGTAGTCTAAAGAGCATTACCCTGGATTTACCTCATCCTATTGCCTGTTTATCCAAGCCATATTTCTTGAGACAGAGTACACTCCAGGCATTGTACTGGGAATTTTCCTGTGAGGTCTCTTGGTTGGGTACTACAGGCAATCTTTTTTTTTTATTATTATGTATACAATATTCTGTCTGTGTGAATGCCTGCAGGCCAGAAGAGGGCATGAGACCCCATTACAGATGGTTGTGAGCCACCATGTGGTTGCTGGGAATTGAACTCAGGATTTTTGGAAGGGCAGGCAATGCTCTTAACCTCTGCGCCATCTCTCCAGACTCAAGTCTAATTGTTTTTTTAAATTATTTATTTATTTATTTATTTATTATATATTATACAATATTCTGTCTGCATGTATGCCTGCAGGCCAGAAGAAGGCACCAGACATCATTACAGATGGTTGTGAGCCACCATGTGGTTGCTGGGAATTGAACTCAGGACCTTTGGAAGTACGGACAATCTTGCAACAAGAGCATCCCATGGAGATCGGTAGAGACTCTCACAGGCTAACTGACACACCCAGCTTTAGTGGGGAGAGATGGAAACAATGGAATTGGGATGTGAACACAGGTGTTGCTCACAATCATCCTCAAGCGAGCACTTTCAGCTTCCTTTAGATTGCTACAAGAACTCCTGAGGATATTTATATAGGTAGGGTTTACTGTTCCCAAGTTCAGCTATTCAATCCAAGACCAAAATTAGTTTCCTTGGGTTACTCTGTGACACATGCCACATGGGAAGAAGGCACTAGGACAAGACACCTATTTGGAGGTGGTAGAAAAGCCAAAAGCAAAACTTGCTATCGGGGTACTAGAGGAACACAGAGGCGCCTGCACTCTGCAATGCTTTAGTCCCCAGAACACATCCCCACAGCCTAGGCTAGACTAATCCCACGAGGAATTCATTGTCTCCAGAACCTATCGTTCTGTCCTGGAAGGGTTCCAACTGGTAAAAGTTTCTTCTCAGATCAGCTGTCTTACATTAATTCCCCCACGATTGTCCTAGATCTGCCTCGGAGAAGCATGCTTGGAGAAAACCTTTTTCTCTTGCATATGACAATGTTCACATATCTGAAAAAGTGAGTTCTTTTTTCTTAGGCTAAGCATCCCGGGAGGAGCAAACTGCACGAGAAAGAGAACAAAGGCTATTAGAAAACTAAGCAAGGGCTGACCTGAACACATAGTCCCCAAGGATTTCAATCCAAGGCCAGTAGGAAACAGAGGCCATGTACGGACTGTGACAGGGAAAGTCAGCAGAGACAAACGAAGTGGTTCATGCCCAAATTCTTAAAAGACTTTCAAATTATTTTTACCTCTTGACAATACTTCAGGTAGTCGCTGGCTCGTGTGGTATGTTGCTCAATTTCCTTCATTTTCATTTTCTGATATATATAAGGTTCTAAACCTTGTTTTTAAAAGAAGGAGAAAAATTAGAAAATTGGTTGAAATGTGTTACATTCAAATCACATTTCTCAAATAGAAAAATCTGGACACAGTACATTTATTTAAACTTAGATATAGTTTTCTCTATTTTTAGAAAGTTTCACCAAGTTTCATTTTTCCTTTTTTTTTTACCCCTTGGGATTGAAAACTGTATATTCTGTTTCCAGTCTCCTCTAGTTGCGCTCACGGGTGTAATACATTTCTACTTCTCTTTCCAGATGTAGTCACCATTCTTGCAAGGCACGCACATGTGGCTCTTGCACTTGGAGGTCAGAGGACAACTCTGCAGAATCCTTTCTCCCCTTCCACTTTTGCAGAGATGCTGGGGATTGAACTCCCGTCCTCAGGCTTGGGCAGCGAGTGCCTTACCCACCAAGCCATCACACATACCCTAGCTTTGACTTCTCCATCAAAGTCAGGAATTAGATAATGCATGATGGTTTTCTCTCTATAAAACACACCCAACAGTTTTTTACATTTGCCATCTTCTGTATTCAACTACCCATACGTTAAAATATATTAAATTTTTGTTATATATTAGTAATCCTTCCTTCATAAGGGCACCAAACAAAAAAGTACAATAACAACAAAAGAGAAGGGCAAAAAAAAATGCTATCTCTTAGGCTTAATTTTTATGCTTTTCTTAGAAAGGATGATGAGAGACGTTATTTCCCTGTTACACCTGATATCTACAGAGTTAAGAGTTGTAACAAATGTAAGAGACAATAATCATATTTTCCCATGTGATTTTTGCACCATAAAAATATATAAGAAGGACAAAGAAAGTTGCTGGCATATGATAAAATTACAATAAATACAATTTCAATGTCAAAACTGTATTATCATTAAAACAAAAATTTATAAAAAAAACATGTTTTATCTTTTCATAGTTTTCTTAGAAATTTTGTGATTGCATAATGAGAACTGCCTGAAAACTGGGGTAGGTAGAGTCGATAGAGTGCCTAGAACGGATGGGCCCTGAGTTCTGTCCCCCACAGAGAGCCTAGAACAGATGGGCCCTGAGTTCACTCCCCCACAGAGAGCCTAGAACAGATGGTCCCTGAGTTCAGTCCCCAACACAGAGCCTAGAATGCATGGGTCCTGAGTTCAGTCCTCCACAGAGTGTCCAGTATGCATGAACTCTGATTTCAGTCTCCCATAGAGTACCTAGCATGCATGGTTCTGAGTTCAGTCCCCTGGGCAGAGTGCCTAGCATGCATGGGTTCTGAGTTCAATCCCCTGGATAGAATACCTAGCATACATGGGTTCTTCAGTCCCCCATAGAGTGCCCCTAGTATGCATAGGCCCTGAGTTCAGTCCCCAGCACTGCATATGCAATGCATGGTACTACATACCTGCGACCTCAGGATTCAGGAGTTAGAGGCAGAAGGATCAGAGGTCAAGGTGATCCTCAGCTACACCTTATCTTTGAAGCTAACCTGGGCTACAGGAGACCCTGATTCAGAGAGGGAAAGGAAGAAGCTTGCCACTCACCAAATTTTATTTTCTTAATTTTCAATTATTGTGTAAGGTGTTTCAAAAGAAACAACAAAGCTTCTCAATTCAAGATGTGACGCAAGGATGATGCCAGGCCTCACCAGATCTGCTGGCCCTGAGGTCAGACATTTTCTCTGGACTTTCTGTCTTAGGACAAAATGCCTCGCTAAACCCTCCTGACACAGAGCTCCCTGTCTGAGTCTCACTGGAAAGAAGATACATATTTAGAATGATGTACTATGACCTAAGGTAGGTACCATGGAGTTTCACTCGGCATAAAGAAGAAAACAATGTCATTTGGGGAACATAGATGGAAGTCATCATAGTCAGCAAATCAAGGCAGACAGAGTAGGACAACTATCCATGTATTTTCTCATCTGTAGACTCAGGATTTTAAAGAGTATTAAAGTAGGAGGAGAACTCTTGGAAGGGAGCCAGAGGCGAGGAAGTGGTGGCGAGAGAAGGGAACCGAAGTGAGTATGAACGAAGCAGGCTATACACACGTACAGAAATATCATCGTGAGCCCATTTTCTAAAATTAATAGAGCCTAAAAAATAAAAGCTAAACACAGGTTATAGTATCTGTAAAATCCATACTACATTCTATGATTCATCCGAGACTGATGTCAGGGTTTTTCCTTTGCTTGCTTACTGCCTTGTTCCCATTTTTACTGTGATGAAAGTTCTCACTGTCCAGCCCAGACTAACCTGGAAGACACAGTCTTCTTGCCTCAGCCTCCTTCATGCTCATGTTGTTGTCAGGGAGGCCTCAGCCCAGCTCAAGTCATATTTTATGCAAGGGTTTGATATATGTAAATGTAGTTTCCAGGAAATGGTGAGTTAAGGCAAGGCAATTAAGCTCCTGGGCCATATTTGTAAATCAATGTCGTTCCTCTTTTATTTCTTCTTTTTTGCTTTTCTTTTTGGTTTTTTTCGAGACAGAGTTTCTCTGGATATCAGTGGCTATCCTGAACTCACTCAGTCGACCAAGCTGGCCTCAAACTCACAGAGATCTGCCTGCCTCTGCCTCCCTGAGTGCTGGGATTAAAAGCGTGTGCTGCCACCACCTGACTTCCATTTAATTTCTAACGCGTCTTCTACCTTTGTGCCCACTTGATTCACATTGGCTTCATAAACGGTTCTGTATTTTAAATACAAAACAGGGTTCACCCACTTTGGCATCGATGTTTGGTCTGGGTAATTCTTTGTCCTGAAGTCCGTAGCATATGTCACAGGATGCCTCTTAGCACCCCTGGCCTCTTCTCACCAAGTACCAAGAGCAGCCCCTTTGATTGTGACAACAAAACATGTCTGAAGACTTTGCCCAGTATCCCTTGGGGAGGGCAAGGGGCTGGGGTTACTGTGAAAATGTCCCACTTAGTTGAGGACCACAGAGTACCTGAGTGAGGAAGGTTTATGAAGAAGTACAGGGCCCTGCAGTATGTATCAGTGCCTTTTATGTAGTGTCGACATTTCAAATGTGTGTGCATGTGTGTCCTTGATCATGTGATTTCTTCTTTTTCAAAAGTACTTCTAGTGCACAAAGTTCGAATCTGCATTTGTATGTGTTTTTAGTAATAATCGTCCTCCCTGTTTCTCATGCTATGTTTGTTTGGAGCTCTTCCCCACACAGCCCTTTGAGCTTAAAGGACATACATCCACATATAAACATCCCATGTGGGCCACAGTAAATTACCAACAATGGCTGACTGCTGATTCTTATCAGTATTGTACAAGCTCTAAGGATTCTGAAAATTAAGCAAACTCCCTTCTCTATAAGTCAGACTGAAGGACCCCAATTGGGGGGAAACACTTTGAATATGAAAAATTATCTAAATTTTAATATTTCTTTTCTGTATCCTGATAGCAATTCCTTTAAACAAATGAAGTGTTGTCCCTTCTGTAAGCATTACAAGCAACAAAGAACTGCTTTCCTTAGAGGTTTTGACCATCTCCTGGTACGGGAGTATTGTCTGTATTCTGTCAATCATGTTTTAAATAAATGCTGATTGGCCAGGCAGGAGGTGTAGGCGGGAAAACCAGACAGGAAGTGGAAATGATGCAAGGAGAGCAGGAGAATTCTGGGGAGGAGGAAGTTGATTCCTCCCACTCCTGCCCAGATCACTGAAGCAGCAGGATGTGATCTGCCCCACTGAAAAAGGTACTGAACCACATGGCTAGCATAGATAAGAACAATGGGTTAATATAAGTTACAAGAACTAATAAGAAGCCTAACCTAATGGGCCAATCAGCTTTATAACTAATCGAGATCTTTGTGTGATTTTCTTTGGGACCTAAACAGCTGTGGGAACTGGGCAGGACAGAAAACACAAACTAGCAAGACCTCATGTTACAATCTCCTTAGCTCATCTCTAAACAAAAGAAAATCAGAAACCACCTATGGACTAAAGGCCACACTCTAGACCAGTGGTTCTCAACCTTCCTTATGCTATCCTAGTGGTGACTCCCAACCACAAAATTATTCTGTTGCTACTTCATAACTATAATTTTGCTAGTTATGAATCATAATGCAAATATCTGATATGCAGGATATCTGATACGTGACTCCCTAAGAAAGTGTTGTTCAACATCCCCGAAGAGTCAGGACCCATGGGTTGAGAACCACTGTCCTAGGTGCCTTAGAGGGTTCTGCCAGATGTTGGGGTCCAAGACTACACAAACACATACTTATCTGGTTGAAGTTGGACACGGGGAGCCACTTCTTGCCGTACTGTTCAGTGATGTTTGCTTCTCCTGGCTCTGAATTCAGTGGGTCACTTTGATAGCAGGTATTGACTGTTATCACCTGGAGAGGCAGTCACATGTAGGAACGCCATGACATTAATCTGATAAAATTTTACATCATGTTTATAGAAGCACACAGTGGAAGGCAGTGATTAACCCTGGCTACACTTTGAATTACCCGGAACACATACAAAGCCCATCACTCAGGTTAGCAGGATACACACATCTGTGTGCATTCTCTTTGTGGTCATGGTGAAGAACCAGAATGTGACTGGAACCTGAATAAGCATCAGAATCACTTAGGGCTCAGGAACGGTCACTGGCCTGCACCCTCAGGGTTTCTAGTTAGAATGTCTGGGGAGAGATGAGGCTGAGATATCTAATGCATTCCCAGGGGAAACTCATGCTGCTGATCAGAAACCATATTCCAAAATCTGCTTATGTCGAGAAGGGAAAGGGTTTCAACTCAAAGTACTTGCATTGGAATTCTGCCCCATCAGAACCTGTGTGGACTGAGAAAATCGTTTACTATTTCCATCCCTCACTGTCTCCAGCACTGAAGTGATGGGTGGCTGGTATACCATGACTATCTTACACCTTTCCCAGGGAGAGACAACAGGCAAAACAGTAAATTTCAAAGTAATTCATGAATGAAATTTTGAATACTTGAACTCAGGTGAAACCTAACTGAACTCAGACCATTTGAAATATTCTTAAAATAAATCTCCTTAAACGCTTAATCCCACAGTATTTCAACAGGTCATGGCAACTTCTGAGATAGTAGCCTTCCTTCTCAAACTAACTCTCTCCTAGCTGAGTCTATATAATTGTCTCCATCTTGTCTCTTTGCTTCTGCTCCCTTTTAACTTAATTGGTGGTGGAGTGTTTACATATGAGCACTATATTTACATCATTTCAACCTCCAACTCCTTGCAAGCCTACAACTCCTCTCAAACTCATGACTTCTTTTATTATTTTTATATATTTGCTTATATATATATACATGTATACAAACAACATGCTGAGTCCATTCAGTGGTGCTCTTACATGTATCTGTTACAGAATGGCCAGCTGGATTACTTATTGAGGACTTGTCCCTGGAAAAGACTGATTATTCTTTTTCTAGTAGCCATTGATTGTCTGTTCCTCTTCATCTAGAGGTAGGGTCTTTTGAGATATTCCATCTACATTAGCCTATCTGGTGTCATTGTGCAGGTCTTGTTTAGGTGATATTATTTTTGAGATTTCATGGATGCAATATACAGAAGACACTATCTCACAACAGATACCTTGATCATCTGGTTCTTACAAGCTTTCTGCCCCCTCTTCCAAAGTATTCCCTAAGCCTCAGGTGTCAGGGTTATGTCGTTGATGATATCTGTCAGCAGCCCATGGTCAGTTGTTCCCAGCATTTTGACCAGTTATGGCTTTCAGTCTACTTCAAAAAAAAGTCTTTTTGATGAGGAGTGGGTAATAAATTACTTCAAGTTCTAAAAGATCACAGATGTCAACATAGAACACTGCACCAGCCAAACTATCCGCCATAGTTGGAGAAAGCAAAACTTTCCAAGATACAAACATACTAAAAGAATTCATGTCCACCAGACCAACAACCCTACAGAAAATTCTAGAAGCCCTACTCCAGGCTGAAGACAGGAATAAGCATCCAAGAGAGTATAAAAAAAGAACAAAGCTATAATTACTATAACACAAAATAGGACTAACAACACAGATAGCAATAATAACAATAATAAAATTATATCAATCAACCTTTCAGTAATAAATGTAAATATCAGTAGCTTCAACTCCCCCTTCACCTAAGATTAGTGGGATGGATTAAGAAGCAAAATTCATCTTTCTGTGTTCTACAAGGAACTCAGTTTGCCTTCAAAACAGGTACCATCTCAAAGTCGAAAGATGAAAAGAAGTATTCTAAGCAAATGAGATCAAGAAGAAAGCATCTGTCACTATCCTAGTATCTAACAAAATCAAAACCAAACTAAAACTAATCAGAACAGAAATCCTAGTCAAGTGAACAATTAACCAAGATAATATTTTCATCTTAAATATATATGCCCCCAAACACTGATGAGCTCAATTTCATAAAAGCATTATACTGGATATGAAAATGCAAATAAACTCCAGTTTAATAACAGAGGATAATTTCAGTACCCTACTTTATCCAGTGGACAAAAAAACCCCAAAATAAATAAAATAAAGGAAGAAACATCATAATTAAATGATAATGTGCATCAAATGGACTTAGTAGATATTTAAAGAAGATTCAACCCAAAGACTAAAAAATAAATATTCTACTCAACAGTGCATGGAATCATCTCTAAAATAGACCATATAATGAAATACAAAACAAATCTTTGGGGTTTTTCTGCTGTTGGTGGTGGGTTTTTATTTTTTTATTTTTTATTTTTTGGTTTTGGTTTTTGGTTTGTTTTGTTTCAAGATAGGGTTTCTCTATGTAACAGTCCTTGCTGTCCTGGAACTCTCTTTGTAGACTCAGGCTGGCCTCCGACTCATTGAGATCCACTTGACTCTACCTCCCAAGTGCTAGGATTAAAAGTGTGCACCACCAAAAACCCAATCTGAGATACAAAACAAATCTTAACAAATTCATAAAATTGAAATAATTCCATTTATTCTTTCTGAACACGATGCAATAAACTTAAAACCATCACCAAATGAATTCCCAGTAATTGCACAAACTCATGAAGATTAAACAACACATTACTGAAAGATGAATGGATCCAAGATGAAATGAGAAAGAAATTAGAAGATTCCTGGTACTAAATAAAAATGAAAACAAAATACATATACAACAAAAACCTCTGTGTCACAGTAGAAGCTGTCTAAACATGAAAAGTGATAGCTCCAAAGCACTCACATTGAAAAAAATTTAAAGACAGAAACACATGGCTTAATGATACAACTTAAGAATTTGGAAAAAAAAAACAAACAAATCAAACACAGTAGATGGAAAGAGAAAATTAAAATCAGAGCAAAAAATTAATGAAAAAGAAACAAAGAAAACAATACAAAAAAAATCAATGAATCTAAGAGCTGGCACTTTGAGAAAGTATTTAAGATTGACAGACCCTTTGACCAACTCACCAAAAGAAAGAGAAGACCCAAATTAATCAAAACAAAGATGATCAGGAAAATATTACAACAGACACCAAAGAAATTCAGACTATTGTAAAAGAATGCTTTAAAAACTTGTACTCCATTAAGTAGAAAATGGAAAAATCAACAAATTTCTAGACTCATGCAAACCACTTAGTTTGAACCAATAATAAACAATCAGGAACTTACACAGACCCATAACAAATAAGTAGTTAAAAGTCTTCAACTGCTTCTTATTACTGTAACAAAGAGAACTGAGTATTTTTTAAGTACCAGTTTATTCAGAAAAAAATATGTGTAAATGAAAAAGAAAATTAAACAGCACTTGAAGACCATGAAAGTGAATTCTTGCGAAATTAGATGGAGTCATTCTAACAGATTCCCTGGACTAACATGAAAACACCAGAGTTTGTAGGACTTGACTACATATGCTTGAATGCCTGTATTCAAAAATAAAAGGCAAAATATTTACATGTATAAAACTGTCAATGAATAAATTAAAATATTCTCTCTAAATACTGGAAATTCCCAAATCATTAACCAAACTTTTTAACATTAAACTAGAAAGAGAAAATCAAGTCAAACCCAAAGTAAACTGAACAAAGGAAATAGAATTTAATTCAGGGGAAAAAATCATAAAATTGAGTTGGCTTTTCCAAAAGAAAAAAAATTAATTAAACAGATAAAATCCTACAGCCACACTGATCATGAAACAGAGAAAGAAAATAAAAAGTTAAAATGTTCAGAATGCAAGAGACGGCATCACTATAGGTGTAACAAGAAAATATTAAAACAAGGCAGGTGTACCACACACACCTGCTATCACAGCTTCTGCGATGCTTTGGTGAGAGGAGTATGAGTTCCAGGCCAGCCAGAACTACATAGTGATACCCTGTCTCAGAGACAGAGCTGGAGAGAGGGGTTAGAAGAGGAAGGGCTATTATAAATAACACTAGGCCAACTAATAAGATACACAGACTTTTGGCCCAACTAACCAAAAGAAAGAAGAGATGACCCAAGTTACCAGGAGCAGAGATGAACAGGAAACATTAAACTGATGTGGAATGTCCTTCTGTATATGTGTTGCTTTTATTGATTAATGAATAAAGCTGCTTTAGCCTATGGCATGGAAGGATATAATCAGGCTAGAAGAGATATATAGAGAGAGTAGGCAGAATCAGGGAAATGTCATGTAGCTGCCAAAGGAAGCAGATACCATGGGGTTGCAGTTTCCCAAGAAGCAAGAGGTAACAAACCACAAGTGTCATGGTACAATATAAAATATTAGAAATGGGTTAATTTAAAATGTAAGAGCTAGCTAGGAATATGCCTAAGCTATTGGTCAAACAGTATTGTAATTAATATGATTTTTTGTGATTATTTGGGTCTGGGTGGCTGGGAAACAAACAAGCAGTCTCTGCTTACAAAATGGCACCCACAGTCTGGGGCATGAGTTCACATAAGACCTAAAACGCTTAACAAAAAAAAGAGGCTTCTAGACTCACAAAAACTGGAGGCAAATGCAGCTTCTTGGTAGCCACATTTTTTTTTTTCAGATAGGCTCTATTTGCAGGCCACAAGCAGAAGCATTGTTCCTTTAAAAACAGCTTCCTGGTTTGTACTGGCAGCAATGAATGGCTCTGGCTCTTCCTTCTACAGAGCATTTAGGGTTTGTGAGCAGAGTGCTATATAAGTTGATGAATGGTAACATAGATCAGCTGTGTCCCTGGAGCTGGGGCAGTGAGCATGGCTTGTAGAACTGGTGGTAAATGGATTTCCACCATATTGAAAGGCTAAAAGAGGTGAAGCCAGCATCCAGGGCTGCTGCAGCCAAGCTGCTTACTATTTTAAAAGCGCTTCTGGTCAGAAAATGATTACAGCTATGCAATAAAGACAGATTTGGACAGAAATAAACCTCTGAATAGATCATAGTGTGTTTGAAAAAATGTACATAGGCTTGGTAGAGAGAAGAAAAAAATTTAAAAACTAAAAAAAAGTCTTTGAAGAGACAGTAAAAGTAATATAAAAGAATACAGACAGTCATAGATTAAAGAAGTAAAGGGAGTGAAAAAGAAATAATCCATGTAAAGATGGAAAATTCACAGAGTATAGGTTATGCATATTATTGTGTTTTCTTTGAATTTTTTGACTGTGAATAGCTAAGTAGAGAGAGATATTTCATTGTATGGGCTGCTAAGCTAAACCAGCACGTATATTTTAAAGGTATCTTGACTTCAGAATTTGAGTCTAAGAATATGTTACTTCAGAAAAGAGGTTCCCTTTTTGTTTCCACAGAGAATGGGAACCTATGGATTTCTTTCAGGCTAATGTGATTTGTTGGAACAAGACCCCCTGAAAGGTCTCCAGGAACCCTAAAAATACTTCACCCAATAAACAGCAGGAAGCAGTTTGGAGAAAACTATGGCCAAATTTTCAAAATGATTATTTAAAAATGTTTGTTTTCATTTAAAGAGGGACATGATTTAGAGATGAATACTTTGCATTGATATGAATCTTAGTTTATTGATACAAATTTAGGGTCAGTTTTGTTATATGCATATTTCTACTCTTATTTACAGTATTTTATTTGTACAGCTCATTTTTAAATGTAATAAATAATTAAAAATTGCAGATTAATAGTCATTTGTAGTTGTCAAACTTGTAGTCATGTCAGGTTTTCTAGATATACAGAGATATATTTCAGTTAAATAGATGGTCAAAGACCTACAGAATATGGCATTTAAAATGTTTTAAAAACATCAACATTTCTCAACAGTTAGACATGTCTGCTTCTGGCAACACCAATTACTTCAGAGAAGTAGATGGGCATCGAAGAAACCTGTTATGAAATTTGCATTCAATGTGACAAGGCTAGCCATTTGATTAAGAAACTGCTCTTGCCTGGACTGCTTGATAGTATGCTGTATGAACTGGATATGCAGGACCCACAAAAAAAAAAAAGACTGCTAAACTTTCCAAAAGATGGATGGTTTTTCAGGGTTTCTGATTCACAGAGGAAACTGCCAGACGTTCTGCAGGACACAGAAAAAAGTGACTGAAAACTGTCAATATAAGCAAAACAGTTTTTCAAATTTCCTGATTCATGGAAAATTCTGCAAGATACTGTGGGCCTGTAAGTTGAAGATGGATGCCCAAATATTACAGAAGAACTTCGGGTGACTGTCAAGACAGCAAGATACCTCTGTCATTTCTAGAACTTTGGAAGTTGCTTACAATATACTTTTTGTTTACTTAGATAATAGTTTATCCTCCTGAAGTCTTTGATGGAGTTAAGACAAATAGCTATAGTTGCAGTTTTCCTTAGTTTTGATAAAAGATAAATTAGATATGAAACTTTAAACTCACGAAGAAAGATTGTAACTGTAATTCTTGCTTGATAACTGTTATGTTATATGTAATTTTACTATGTTAAAACTAAAACCTTCCATTTTAATTAGACAGAAAAGGGATGATGATACAGAATGTCCTTCTGTCTATGTGTTGCTTTTATTGGTTAATGAATAAAGCTGCTTTGGCCTATACGGCAGGGAAGAATATAACCAGTCTGGAAGAGATCTATAGAAAGAGTAGGCTGAGTCCGGGACATGCCATGTAGCTGCCAAAGGAGGCAGACACCATGGAGTTGCCCAAGAAGCAAGAGGTAACAAACCACAATCCTCATGGTAAAATATAAAATAATAGAAATGGGTTGATTTAAGATGTAGGAGCTAGCTAGGAATATGTCTAAGCTATTGGTCAAACAGTGTTGTAATTAATATGGTTTTTTGTGATTATTTGGGTCTGGGTGACTGGGAAATGAACAAGCAATCTCCACTTACATTAAACAAAATAGATAGTCTTTAAATACAGAAACAGTCAAAGACTATTTAACATCCGATAATCTAAATAGCCCTATGACTATTACAGATGCTTAATATCTAGTTAAAAACTTTACCAAAAAGATGGGTTTATTGGATAATTCAACAGAATATGTAATGTTGAAACATTATCAACTCTTTACAAACTCACAAAGAAAACTGAAGACATATACCCAATGTAGCCAATTATCCTGGGATAACACTGTTACCCAAACCAAAGTTATGTCAATAAAGGAACTGAAGACAATGCCCCAGGAACACAGGTGCAAAAGGACTAGCAAAATTGATATCATTTGTAAGAGTACATAAGTGGACAAGTGGCGTTTATCCCAGTAATGCTGGTTTAATGCTCAAAATGTTAACTCTGACCTTATAAAATCAATTAACAAGGTAAAGAAGAAAACCATCTAAATTGGTGCACAAAATATTGACAAAAACCCTATTTAATGATGAAAGACAAAGTACTCTCTACCAGGAGCAATAAAAGAAAAACAAAGACACTGTGTTCGGCCTCCATTATAGTTGAAAAGAAAACGTGGAAAGATGCCTGCTTTCATCGCTTCTATTTAACACGGTACTCAGTGTTCCAGCCAGTGTAATCAGGCAAAAAAAAGTAATAAAATGTATCCAGATTGAAAATGAATAATTAAAAATCCATTGTCAATATCATCACTTACATAAAATATTATCAAAAAACTTTCGAAAGCAAAAGTGAGTTTGGCAAAATTGTGAAATATAAGACCAAGGCTTCACACACATACATATACACAGAGAGAGAAAGAGAAAAAGGAGATTTACTATTTTAAAGTAACTACAATCACAACAAATTTTAAAACTTTGATATGTATTTTCAATGTTAGATACACATGTAACCAGAAATATTCAAGACCTGAGTGCTGAAAACTACAAAGAATTACTCAGGTTAAAACTACCTAAAGCTAGACATACATCACTTCCAATGAATCAGACACCTAGTTGTGGATAAGATGTCAATTTCCCACAACTGGCATGCAGATTCAGAGCAATTCTGTTCCAAATTCCAGAAGGCTTCTGTGTAAAAAGTGAAATCTGAGACTAAATTTATATATAAATGCAAAGAACATAAAATAGCCAAATCATTTCTTGAAAAACGAAGGATTTCTTTTATGCATGATTTCACAACTTATAAAGTTTCGGTAGTCGAGATGGATTTAGTATTGGCATGGAGATAGACAGAAATAGAGCCACACATACTGTGGGTCTGTATAGTCAATTAGCTTTTGACAAATGTTAAGGTAATTCAATAGAAAAAAAGTCACAATTTTACCAAAAAAAAAATGATAGAATTTTTTGATATTTACACAGGAGAGAAAATTCAATCCTTTCCTATCCCCATATACAAAAAGAACCTTAAAATGAGCTCTAGAGCAAATGTAGAGACAAAAAGTGTAGAAATCGTAGCAGAAAACAAGAGACAACATCTTGGTGATAGCTTGGGTTCTGGGGGAAGAGCAGCCTTTAGCTACAGAAGGAAAAAGTCAAATATTTGATAAAAATTTTTAAAAATAAATCTGTGCACTTCTGACAGCAGTCATGACAGCAGAGGGGTAAGGTGCCAGTGGGAAAGGGGGTTCACAAAAAAATCCAACAAAACACTAGGACACACAGCGAGAGTTTACATCACAGTAAGCAAACAAATCAATTACTGCATTCTATAAAGGACGCAGACAGGTGAGTCCAGATGAACACACGGAAGGTCTCCTAAGAACTTGAGTTAATCCTCACTAACCTCACAGCGGTGCTCACTACAGAGCCACCAATGCGCCTGAGATCAAGACTGAGCCGCGTGCACACAGATGCAGAAGCAGAACAGCTGATAAACTCACAAACCAGAGATGGCCCCAGAAAGTCATGGGATGACATCCCCAACAATGTCACAGGATGCTGGAGTTCCTCACCCTCTCTCAAGTTCTTGCCAAAGAGAAATGAAACAAATATTCACAGGGTTTGTACACAAGTGCTCACTCAGGCTCTCTTGGACTAACCCAAATCAGAAACATTCTAAATGACTTTCAGCTAGTGAGCAGATAAGCAAGTCAAGACAGATGTCTTCACTCCTCCTGGTACAATGTCACTGTGTTTGTCCACAACAGGAGCCAAGGGGAGATGCCACTGACTCAGGTATTCAAACCCTAAAGTCAAAGGGAGGAATACTTACTGGCACCTGGAGTCCCTGAGTTGTCTTCTTCTTCTTCTTTTTTGACAGGCTCCTGTTCTTGGTTAGGAGTTTTGCTTTGATCCATGTTGAGCCTGTCTCTGAGGCTCTTGCGAGGCCTGGCAAGGAAATTGTGTGCATGTGAATGCTGAAGGCTGTGTATGGAGACAATTTTGTTGTAAAGAGAGGCCTGGGGTAATGAGAAGAAAGTTAACCACCCTTAACAATCACAGACATTTTCAGAAGAGTAGCAATGCTAATGACCACACTTTTAAAAATGTTTCCTCCTCACCCAGCCATAAATGGATGTCTTTATCATCCCTCAAGCCTCAAGATCCGGGAATCAGGAGGAAACAAGAAAGGTGGCTAGAAAGACTGTGATAGACAGAGATGATGGATAACTCTGAGGAGGCGGTGCTTCCGGACATAGCAGGGTTACCGCACATATGAACTCGCATGTCCTGGGACAGCGGGTACAAGACTTGCCAGAGTTCATGCGAGACAAAAATGCCAGTAAGAAGGGGAGGTGGACCCTAAGTTGAACCCCTAATCAAGGACCTATTGCAAGTGATAGATGCTAAGAGATGGGGAAAAATCCCTTTTCTCCAATGTAGTGACACTGGCTAAATCAACCAAACCCCAGGCAGGGCAAGCCCCGGGGAGTAATTGGCCAACACAAAGAATTCCGTGGTTCTACTGTGTTTTGTTCTGTTTCAAGCTGGCTTTTGGTTTGGATTTTTTGTTGTTGTTTCTGTTTGTTTGGAGAGAGAGAGAGAGAGAAAGAGAGAGAGAGAGAGAGAACATGAAGTTGTGGGGGAAGGGAAGATCTGGGAGGAGCTGGGAGAGGAAAGAGAACACAACCAAAACATGTTGCATGAAAAGTTTTAAAAATAAAAAATAAGAGATCTTCTGAGTGAGAAAATAAAAATAAATTTAAAGCATTTGCTCCTTACTGTTGTTCTTCCAGCTCTTCCTCAGTTTCTCCTCCTTGTGGAACCTAAAGCTATGGCTCCTGTTGAGAGGTCTGTCTCTACAGAGAGAACTGAGGCAAAAAGATCTCCTGGGCTGGGCCCATGGTCCTGCCACGACGGAGCGCCCACTACTCTGGGCCGATCTTCTTGAATTCTCCAGTCCCAACCTGCCTCCTCTCTGGAGGGGGCATTCTTCACTGCTGCACATAGATGGCAAGCAAGTTTTCCACTTTTTTTTGAAACTGAACACATCGGTTTCATCACTTTCGGAAAAGGCCCAGTTCACATATCCACCTTCGGCTTGCATGCTGATGGCCCGGGAAGGAAGCGAGGTCATGGTCAAGGGAGCAGGTAGGCCACTGAGCGTGAGTGAATCTTCTTCGGCCTTGTCATGTTTGTCTGACATCTGTGTGACTGCCTCATGTTGTTCCTTGCGTTCTGCTACCAATGCCTGGTGGGAGGCAGCAGAGGTCTGCATAGGCAGACGGATGGTAATATCATGCTGGCATACATGTTCCAGTGCCAGGTCACCTATGTTGGCTTCTTCAGATGATCTGAAAAGAGGTGGGGGCCTTTCAAAAGAGAAAGGAACTTGTTTTCCAGAAGACGGGACCAGGAGAAACTGACCATACTTAGAGTGCGCTTGTCTGACCTGGGACACCCCGGAAGCAACTGGGTCCATTTCTTGTTCCTCTTGGTCTTCTCTTACACATGAGGCCTCTCCTTTATCGTGTGTAATCTCTAGCAAGGTGCCCTTCTGCACACTTGGGGGAAGCTGGCTTCTGGCAAGACTCCGCAGCAAAGAAGGGGGCATGCTGTAGCACTGAAATTTCTTCTTTCCACAGCTTCTCATGCTGCTGAGAACATTTGTGCAGATGACATTGGTCCAGCTGTGGGGACGTTTTCGACAAGTGGAGTGCTTTCTGTCGGTCCGAAGAACCTCGTCTTCCTGCAACGTGTCAACAGCGGAAAGGACCTTCAGGGTGTCAACGGTCAGGGCAGAGAGGTCCTGGAGGTGGCCCACCTGGCTGTCCAAGGATAGTAGGGAGTCCTTTATAAAAGATACTTTTTCATTCATCTCTTTCAGTTGGAAGAACATCTCTGAAACCCTAATGGTGCGGACAGGAAGAAAGCCAATAACCACATTAATCTGTTGAACTTGGTTTTGCTCTCTGCTCGATTTGCTCCCACCCATACGTGACAACTAAATCGTACCTGCTTCCCAAATTTAGCCTGCCTCCTATGTCCTTCTCTCTCTCTAACACAGTACGTGTTCCAATCCCAGGTGATCTTACTTCCCTCTCTTCCCACTTCAACTCCAGGGAGGAATGCTGTAAATCTAAATTCCCAGCCCTGATATCTTTCTACTATCTCAGGACTGACTTTCCAGCTGCCTGCAGGTTATCACTGCAATTATCTGATGGGCCAGCCCATTATTATTCTCTAATGTAGTCATCCTATTGCATGACAAACACTGGAAAATCTTCTTTTGGACAATCCTGGTAGGAGGAAGCTCTAAGAGAAAATCAAAACGATGGAGACAGAAAACACCTTCAACCCTGTAGTTCAAGTATACATCTCACACTCCAAATAAAATCCATTTTAGGACGTCTATCGTCAGAAAAGAATATGGCAAAATTTTTAATTATTTTGAATACGTGAACCCAAAATTATGATATATAGCCATTGATTTATGTAAAAACAACATGGCACATTCTATAGTAGACTCATTTAAGAACAAACTGCAAATAAATAGGATTGGGATAACATTTTCATTCACAGAGAGGGAAGAAAAAATAAAATCTTGTTTGCTAAATGTTTATATATATATATATATATATATATATATATATATATAT